ACACCCTTCCACTTCACACTTTGCTATATCCTACACCTAAAGGTTGCCTGGAAGAAATCGCTATTTTAGCGATAAGGCCGCCTCTTGTGCATTTTGCTACTACTGTATTCTTCTTTTTTTTATATTTCTTCCTATGTTTTTATTATTATTATTATTAGCTGTTTTAAAGTCATTTTAAAATCATGAAAAACTAATACAAAATAAAAAAATCTAACAATCCCTTTAATCGATTCAATATTTAGTAACATACTGAGTTATTGTTAGAGTATTTACATTCTTTTTACTTTATCAATGTCATGTTAAACTAGCGACTCACCCGCTTCGCTTCGGGTTCATCCTTAGGCAAAAACAAAACTATCCCACAGAAACCGTACAGTTTTCCGGGATAAAATGTAGCCTATGTGCTATTCTAAACGATGATCTATCTCTGTGCCAAATTTCTTCCAGATCCGTTCAGCCATCCTCACAAATTTTCACATTTATGATATTAGTAAGATTTATAGTGAATAATAATTATAATCAAAGACTGTGTATAGTAACATGAAGATAACTTTTCCTTCATTTTGTATTAGAGATGTGTGCTTTCTCACGCAAAAGCTCTACTAAAAAGTGGTCACTACGAAAAGGGGTGTTGTCTTGGTTGAGATTAAAAAAAACAACTTTTTTGCTAACATCGAAGTATGGGAAACTACTAAAAACTTCTTTCGAAATAAACCCGCCTACGAATTTTACAAATTTGTTGAATGGACAATTTATAGCGCTTATCGGATTTATTGGTTTGTTCATAATATTTTTCGGATCCTTTTCGGGCAGGTGACTCGCGGCTTGAATGAATTTTTTGTTAATATTAATGATGCGGAGTAAACATTTATTGTTTGCTTCACCTTTTTTCTGAAATTCATTCATAATTTTATATTGTGTTTATAAATTGTTGCTTTTAAACAAATATACTTACTACCTACGTGTCGAACTGTTGCCACTCTTAGGGTATCTATCTGTATGCGAAACTGGTGAATGATATAATACTCCTAAATTGACGTATTCTCTCGGGTGCGTCCCTAGGTCCCTAACTGAAAGCCAGTGTGTTATTTCAGGTCATAATATCGAAATAAAAATAGCGCACTCGACGGTAATGTGGCTTCATATTAGTGAAAGAATTTTCAGATTCGGATCAGTATAAACTTCACATCTATCTCAATATTTATAATATGTATGTTTAAAGTTAGTTATAGGTGTAGTTATAGGTGTGTAGTGTATCAACTATCTGGTATCCATAACACAAGTCTCGTAACTTACCATGGAACTAGATTGTGCTGTGTGTTAATGTCCCAACATATTTATTTATTTATTTATTTATTTTATTTATCTTTTTGAAGTAGTGTAAAAGTTAAATCTTCGTTACTTTATACTTTATTGCTGGAACTGAGTTCTTCTTATATACTTTCAAATCTTTATTTTAACTTATTTGAAATTTCTAACGAAGGTTTCTTAAACAGAAAGCATTAAATAATTATTTTAAATATTATGCACAACAAATATATGTTATTTCAGAAAAATTAATCAAATATTACACAGTAGACAGAGTAAGGAATCTCATGATCATAAATTAACCTTTACAATATTGTCCATGGGAACTTTGGTCAGGTGGGTCATCACGCCTACGCTTTCAGCTTTATTACCTGCCTTCTGTACTGCTACTTGTAATAGGGGAGCCATGATTTTAGATTCATAATATTGGTGTAGGGTTTTCAAGGATCTCATTAACCTGTCTATCGGTTATTTTCCTTAGTAGCGATAAAAATTTGACATATTTTGTTTGTTGTTAGAGCTTATATTATAAATCAAATTTCTATATTTAGAAAGGAAAATTTCAGATTATTAAGAATCACCGTTAGTCTTTAAACTTTGATTAATTTTCGTTAACAACTTCTTACACAGCTAGATCAGTTTCTTTTTACAATAAACACTTTCTCTCTCTATCTTTTTCTATTTTCTGTCTGCTTTAGTTGTAGGCATATTTGTACAGAATTAATTAAGTACTTAGGTACTTTTAAATAAGCCAGAAATGATTTAACAAGTAGATATTTTTAGAATTACTTATTTAGTAGGTATATAGACACTAAAAAGTATTTCAAAAAAATATTTGTAAATATTATTACATAATATTGTTGTATAATTAAAATCAAATTATTATATTTTAGACGGGTATGTTAGTGGATAGGTACACCCTACCTCAGTATAGAGTCAAAGATTGCATTTACAATACAAATAGCGCTATTTGCAGCGGTCATTACGCTTCAAAAGCCATTCATGACTTCAAAATTGAAAAAGAAGTTACATTTTTATTCTCACGGGCCATTTTAAGTGGTTTTTTGCGCAAATTCGTTACGGCACAGGTTACAGGAATCAATTGCGCGCGCTTTTTGACATTGACATTGGTACATTTTTTTTATTTTTAAAAAGTGATCGATTTGATACGATTTTTGTGTTTGTTTAGTCGCCCTTATTCGACTTTTGCCACTTGTAAGCAGCCTTGAAAACTCCCACGAAGTTTTTTTGTTGTAAATTGCGAAAAATTCTTACAAATTTCAATTGTCACTAAAAATACTTATATACTAACAATAACTTTTTTTCTTTTATTTGATTATTTATTTAAGACTAATATATTTTTAATCAAACCACATGTCAACGTTAGTCTAATATCTAAATTAAATTACAAATGGCATAATTTCCCATCCCCAACCGGAAGAATGAGAGACAAAATGGCAACCACCCATCGCGATATTTGTCCCAACGCTAATGATCACAGTATCTGCGGTTTTATTGTTATTTTTCGTACAACAAATCGATTTATTAACGTTGCACAAATGTATTATAGGGACTTTACTGTATATAATACTTTATCGTTGAACTTAAATGTATAGTTTAAATAATAATAAATATCTTTAGTAGAACACTAGCGAAAAGGGTGATTTTGTCCATGAACGAAAAAATAAAACATGAAAGGTAAAAAAAATACAAATATAAAAGTAGCATCAAAAACATTACCAGAAAATTGAATTGAATTGAAACATTACTACAGAAGTTAACCATACCATTAATTGGGCACATTTTATAGATGCATGTTAAGAAATAATTGATGTATCCAATTAAAACAAAGAGTTGAAAAAAACTCACTTTTGCATTTATATTAATAGTATAGGAAGCTAGTAGCTACCTATATCCGCGACTTCGTGTTGACCATCGATGGCAAATTTTTAAATTGATGATAGAAGTTTACTATTTTTTTAGTTATTACTAGCATTGCCCGCGGCTTTGCCCGCGTTCAGATGACCAAAAACTAAATTTTGTAACTAAGCCGAATCTGAACATTAAATATTTTTTGGAAAATCTTATTGAAATAAACATTATTATCGATACAGAGGCCGAATCTGTAGTTTTTAGAATTTTTGTCTGTCTGTCTGTCTGTTACCGAATCACAGAAAAACCACTGGAGGGATTTTCATAAAATTTGGTATGGTGATAGCTGGTTATCCGGGTCAACATATAGGACTTTTTACCGCGGGAAAATATATCATTTCTGAGAAAAAATACAAAAACTGCATTGTAAGAGTATACTAATATGTAAAACCTAAGAACTTGGTTTTTTATCACCTCAAAGCGGGTGGAGCCGCGGGCAATGCTAGTTTTAAATACAACTATCTTTTAAGATTTTTTCGCGGTTTTATTCTTATTTTTGGTTCAGATTGTTTCCAAAGCTTTATAGCAAACATGGTCACGGAAGAGTCACTGCCGTGACCATAAAGATATTTATAGTATAGATAGTTTTATTTAAGACTTTATCTACTAAAGAGCAATAATACTTATTTCTAATAATTAATTAACATTATTCAAATAAGCAAACAAATGCACAAAACTATTTGCTATTGCACTTCAAACACAATTGCATGTTTGAAATAAATTTAAATCACTAAATCAGTCGACAGCGTGCTATAAATCAATCGACAACAACGCATAGTTCCTATTGTTGCGAATGTGACCCCTTGCACAATACGTATCTGCGGTTAGAAAAGACCACACAAGGGAGATAAGTAATAAATATATTAGTTTAATTCTATCAGCGAAAGGAAAAACCTTTTAGCATTGCCATTAAAATTAAAAATCATTTCCAAAATAAGAGGTCTATATCTTATAAATTTAATATACTTATATATATATATATACATACATATATATATATATATATATATATATATATATATATATATATATATAGATATATATATATATATATAAATACGTATATTAAATTTATTTTTAATAGCGTTAAATAGCGTAAAAATTTTGGTAATAACAAGGCCCCTTAAATTGTTTTACATAGGTACTTAAAGTTAACCCAAAATTTATCATAGAGTTAACCAATTTGACAAATTCTTTAATAAAAATTTAACTTGTAAATTATAAGCATCCTTTTTGTATGTTAATAATGTTACAGGGCATTTTGCAGATTTTTAAGGATAATCTATTTTTTGTATATATAGGTTTGCTTTTAAATCTATTAAGTTCATACTATTTTGCATTACATGACGCTTAGTATGGATTTTTTTTAACAAAACAAAAAAACCCTTGTAATTTATACTAATATTAATAGACGCGAAAGTTTGTAAGAATGTATGTATAGATGTATGTTTTTTACTTTTTCACGCCAGAACGGCTGAACGGATCTAGATGAAATTTGGCACAGAGATAGATTATAGTCTAGAATAACACATAGGCTACTTTATATCCCGGAAAAATATACGGTTCCCGAGGGATAGATTTACTATAATTATAATTTCGCATTGTTAACAATCCTCATGTAATATTTCGAGAAACAATGAATGAAGCACATATTTTAAAAACAAAACATTCATATTTATTACTAATAAAATTATTATCTTCGCTTGAAAAAATATAACATTATCATTATTTAAAATTATAATTATACGTAAAACAAATTAAAATTCATCACGTAAATTACCATTTATCTTCTGAATATATTCTTCTAATAACTTCTTTGCATCAATAATATCAAATTTTATGTTATTATTTACTTTCTTTCTTAACGACTTAAACACGTTCACATCTTGCGCTTTTCCCTTATAAATCTTCAGACAGAATGGCTTTATATTTCTTAAAAGATCAAATACGACCGGTGGGAGTTCTAGATCATCTCTAACAGATATTCCTTTAAATATGTTTAATAAGCCGTTACACACTGTAGGCGTCGACATCCTTTCTATCAAACCAATATTTTCATACAATTTTATCGTTTCAAAATCAGTTTTATCCTTCTGAGACTTGCTACGTTCTATTAAATGCTCTTGAAGAATATTATTAAATAATTCCAATAAAGTATAAACTACAGATATATCTAACTTTGTTACTTGATGGTAAAATGGTTCTAGGCCTTTTAATTTCATAACACGAGCCTGAATTTTAGGATTTCTTGGCAACCATGTGTGCATTATGTCCAAAGCATGGGCTTTCAGAGCTAAGTTATCATCGTTTTCAAATATATCTAATAGTTTATCGATTATACTTGAGGGTATTACTTCATTTGTAGTAACAGGAGCGACGATGAATAAAGTTTTTAATATAATCAAAAACTGTTTCTTCAACGATTCATAGTTAATGCCAATTATTGAATTTATAATTCTATGTATGCCTTTGTTGTTGAGGAATTTGTAAGTGTTTTGAGATGTTTTCAGAAAATCTACTAGCTCATCTAGAGTGTCTGTTATTTTTTCATATAAATATTCGGTATGTTCTATCGGTAGGACCCCGTCTTTACGAGACTTGTCTGCTAAGACCGCCAGATGTTCAATTTTCTCCAAACTGTTTTCGATATCTATAATGTCTTCATTTGGTGAAATGGTTTGATAATTAGGTGTAGTTATCTTTCGTTCTAAAATTTTCAAGAACAAAAAAAATTATATAGTATTTTAGTAGCTATTATATAAAATATTTTAAAAAGGTGCTAATAATAATAATTTTCAAATGTAATTTTATGTTTTATCCATATAGCTATTAGATTTGATCAGCACTAAAAAACCGGTATTGTATGAAAGTGAACGGAATGACGAATTGTTAAGTTGTAGGAAGGTCTTTAATTCGTCTCAATCGATTAAAATGATACTTGACTACGTTTTTAAATCATTATTAGCCTCAAAAATGTTGATTCTCGAATAATATGTCAATAAACTTTTAATAGTATTTTTAACAACCTTCCAGCAGCTTACCTGCTACATGTTCCTACATAAATTACACTAGCTTTTAGTAAATAAAAAAAATAATACATGAATATTCTTATAGACTGTTGTAGCGCAACACTAGTAGGTATTTCGTAGCGAAGGGCGTTGATTCGATTTTGTAAGCTAATCGAAAGATGGCCAAAAAGATATCATAAAAAAATACCTTCCATCAATAACTCCTCCGCTAATGCACTCATTATTACAATACTAACTGTGATCAAATTTAAAATCATATTATATTTTATATTCAAAATTGTGATGTGTACTTCTAAATTCTGGAAAAATTCAGACAGTTAGTGCTGTCACTTTACCATCTAAGAAGTTAAAAAGCAAACGTCAGCTACTACCATTATTATTGTATACTAGCATTGCCCGCGGCTCCGCCCACATTCAGATGACCTAAAACCAAATTCTTAGGTTTTACATATTGGTATACTCTTACATTGCAGTTTTTGTATTTTTTCTCAGAAATGAGATATTTTCCCGGGGTATAAAGTATCCTATATGTTGACCCGGATAACCAGCTATCATCATACCCAATTTTAATCATAATCCCTCCAGTGGTTTTTCTGTGATGCGGTAACATACAGACAGACAGACAGACAAAAATTCTAAAAACTACAGATGCGGTCTCTGTATCAATAATAATGTCTATTTCAATAAGATTTTCCAAAAAATATTTAATGTACAGATTCGGCTGAGTTAGAATTTTACTATACATATGTATGGATATAGATAAACTATTGAACCTATTTGGTTTTAATTCAAACGATGACAAGCTTAAAAAAGCACGTGTCATTTTAACAGTCAAGCGTTTGTTCAATTTACACAGCAGGTATAATAAATACTGAGAACAAACACTCTTATCAGTTATATGGATAACTTAACAATTTTAACACAATGCGAAGATAAGACCTGTTGCTGTTTATCTCTTCGGAGCACTGCCGTCCTTATATCTTTTGTTAGTTTGGTAAGTTATCATTGTAATATTTAGAGAAACAACGAATGAAGTGTTTGTTGCTTTAACAGTTCTAATATAGGCTATTATTTTTTAATTTTATTATTGAATTTCATTAAAATCATAACATTTAGGTATTATTATACATTTTTAAATATTATTTGTCTGAAATATAAACAATTAGTGTTAGCACCCGCGGTTCCTGTCGTATAGTAAGTAGCCATATGGTACATCAATAAAAATTAATAAATATGTATATATTAAAGTCTGTAATGCTATATTATGTAGTCCACATTTTACAAAACATGTTGAGCCATTATTGTGCAAAGAAATGTTTCATTTGTAAATTCTTGCATTTATAGGTAAGTAGGTATATGGGCGATCGAGCTTCGCTCGGCGTTTTGCGGTGATCAAATAAAAAAAACAATCATAAAAGACACCTATACCTACAATAGATAAACTTCGAAAGTAAAACTTAACTACATAATTTGATCCAAATCTTTAAAGCCGTTTCTGAGATACAGAATTATATTTATATAAATGTATTATATTCAGGCCTTCTTACATACATATATACCAGAATTTATTATTTAAGCACATATAATATTAAAAATTTAAATGTAAATTAGCATGATACTTTTTAGATTAGCTGCCTCTTGGATGTTTTATTGAAGGATTCAAATTCAGAAAATACTTGTGTTATCAGGGAGCATGTTGACTCGCTGAAGATCCTTTTACTTTCCCTGTTTCAAATGGCCAACGTGTTACTTCTTATTGGTTCTATAGTTGTAAGTGTGTATTTATTTCTCTTATCTCTCTCTCTCTCTCTGTCTCCTCCCTTTCTCTCTTACATTAAAATAGAGCACTAGATTAATATCTAATGGTTTTCGTGCTAGGTTCTAGTCTCCACTCACACAGTTCAAATATTTTTTTTGTTTCTTAGGGGTGAATTATTTTTCTCTTAGCGAAAGAAATGTTGTAATTTCAGTTTGCTAGATTAACTTGCTAGGTTCTCTCAGATATGCTGCTATCCTCACGGTGTATTTCTTTGCCGTACGATAAGAGAACAAATGATGAAATGATTCGCACATTAAAATATCAAGAGGTGCGAGACCTGGGATTAGAACCCGCTTTATTCGGTTTCCCAAACGCTACCACTGCCTTAATATTTAATTTAAACGTATTACATCTACAGGAGAATGCATTATTACTACAAATATATCTATGGTATATGCTGGGTTTCATCCTTATTGGATTCATGGTGACTATTCTAGACTTCTGCCTTCGTACCAAAGATGAAGGCTTGTGGAGTTTTGCCACTTTTATTCCAGAAGTTATTTTCTTATTTGGTAAGTAGTTTTTCAATTTGTTAATGACTACTGGTGCCTTTTAACATGTTTCATAAAAAAATATCTACACGAATATTATAAAGAAGCAGAGTTTGTTTGTTTGAACGCGCTAATCTCAGGAACTACTAATTCGATTTAAAAAATTCTTCCTTCTTTGCATTAGATAGCCCGTTTATTGAGTAAGGCTATAGGCTATAATTATATAATAATATATATTCTATCTATTCCATACTAATTCCGAGCGAACGAAGGGTGAGTCGCTAGTTCATTTATATGTCAATAGATGGCGTTAAATGTATTGAGTTCTAGTTGAGCTTTTCAATTCAATTCAATTTTCTTGTTAATGGCATCAAAGCGTGCCAGTAAAGTATGAATGAGCATAACAATATCTCTAGATTAAAAGAAAATGAAGAAATGCGATCTTAAATGAAATTTATCTAACTATACCGATTATTTTAAAATCAGCCACTACGTTTTCATATTGTACTCATAGGATGGCAACGTTGATATTTTTTTTACAAGTTGTTTAATCCTTACATGGTAAAAAACGAAAAAAGTGACTAACATTTGTATTGTTATTAATATTATATACATTAAATTTGAAATGAATTTTGCTATATTTTGCATATTTTAATACATACTTATTTAAAATAAATCGACAATTTGCGATTCAACGTCATCTATTGCCTATATAAGAAAACAAAAATTGCTCGAATTAAGGCTATCCATTTTCTTTCTATGGACTTAGACGTTATGCTGATCCACACTACAGTGCCGATCACAGTCCAGTTCTCGGCCCGATGCCGGTCTGGTAAAGTTTTTTTATACAAGAAACGTTGCTGGAGTGTGATTTGACTGGAACGTGACTCTTACTCAGTGTGTATGCTCTCATTGCTTCTCGTATAATAATACTTTACCAAACCGACATCGGACCGAGAGCGAACCGTGATCGGCACTATAGTCGGTCCTTAAAAACATCGACTTTTTATATGCGTAAATGAAAACTGCATCAAATTTTTATTTTGATAAATTATCATTCTAAATGAACTAAATTTTGTTATTAATGTCTAAAATTTGCTCTTGTCTGAGTTTTTTTTTATGACCTGAAAATAACTTAAGTTACGTCTTATGCCATGCATAAATCTTGCAAAAGAAAATTTTTGATTTTTGTAATTTATTTTTAATACGATATATTTTATTTTCAGTACTTTTCCGAAGTCTATCTCTGGTGGATTTATATAAGAAACACTTGGAAAAGGTTTAAATTACTTTAAAAGGTAAGTGATAAGGTGGGTGGGTTAGTATAATAAAATCACATATTATTTTCAAATACTTGTTTTTCTTTTAATATTTTTGTACTATCTACTATATACATGGTGTTTTTAAATATCTATAGAAAAACGTGTAACAAACGTAAATCTAACGTACAACTAAATAGAAAATTCTCGCCATCGGACTTAAAAAAAAACTTAAAACTGGCGATAAAGCCATTAAAACATTATATACAATTTCGCTCTCCTTTAAAAACTTACGTGGTATATATTTGTCTCTGTCATACAATATATAAGGGAGAAAAGGACAAAACATTAACCACGTTTATTGAAAAGGTAATGCAACTTTAGCGTTATGACTAATTTTCAGTATTTCAGTATATTTTATGTAACAAAGGCAGGCCAATAACTTCGTAGAACAAGGTCGTATCTGAAAAACGATAAAAGAGCTTTTAAAGATATTTACATACAAAAAACCATTCTTAAACTATACCATTCAAACGTTTAAAATTCATTGCATATTTAATAATTTCTAACTCGATCGCAACACACGTGTACGAGTATCTTTAAAAGGCTCTTTTATTAAGGTTTTTTTTAGATACTTGACGCTCATCATATTGAATTTTATAAGACAAGAACTAAACAAACATTGAGAAAAAAAAGAAAACTCTGAATTTTGAACATTTTACTAGGTAACTTAATAAATATGTTTTGTTTCTTTGAAATAGATAAAATAGCCGAATTAGAAATGGCATTCACCTTCACAAGAATATATTAAACTTTACATAAAAAAAAATATTTAGCAAAGCAACCTAATTGCTTCTTTCTACAATAAAACTAAATAAAATTACATCTAATAGGTTTATGCCATTTCCATAATAACATTCCTGTTCTGTCGAAGTTATTGATTATTCCCTATACACGACAATGAAAATATATAATTCTAATTGTAGGAATAATTTTAACTAAGTAGTTACATTTGAATTTAAATAAGATTATAAAAGTTATGAGATATTATGGAGTATGTATCGCCATTCGAAAAAACTCCTTCACAGAAGATACTTTATAGATCATAAAAAATTAAAAAAAAATTAAAAATATTTTTATTAGAATTATCAATGTTAGAATTAATCAAAGATCGTTTTATTAATATTATGACATTATTTTTTTTAGTTAAAAAATATTCACAGCATAGATAAAATAAAAAACTAGATGAAACATGATAAATTATAACTTTTAAAAATTAATTTTTGAAGGAAGTTTATTTGAAGGCAGCACGTTAGATAATATCTTTAGTATTTCCATAGACAAAGCTAAAGCAAACGACTCTGTACTAGGAATAAGAAATACGAAGAAACTAGGATTGAACCTACTATGAGACGCCAGCCAGCCTTTTTAATATTTAATTAACAAGAATATAAAAAATCAGTAAATATTTTAAAATTTTAAAAATAAGTTTATAGAAGGTTTAGAACGTTTTGATGATTTTATGTAAAATGAACACCTACATAATATGTATTAGAGGAAGAGTTTCATAATTACAAAAATAAAATCCATATAGTTAAATTTGAACAAAAATTAAGTTGTTACAATAAAGATACATCGAGTTCCTTTCGCTAATTATTCCCAAAACTAACGCATTTGCTATTCAAAAACTTCAGATTAAGTTTTTAATTTTATTTAATTTAAAAAAGCCTTAGGTTATAATATTTTAAACATAATTAGACTAATTTTAAAGTAGACATTTAAAATACTAGTTTTACTTGAAATTCGACCATAATCAGTACTGAAAATTTGAAAACAATGTATGTAATATGTAAATAAAAAAATATATTGATAAATACTACTACTCGTCCATAGCTAGTAAACAAACAAAAAATGAAAATCGGTCGACAAACAGACGAGAAAGGAGAAAAAAGCACTGAACGGTTTTGTCTTTGCCTATTTATATATAGATAGCACTTAGTGATTTTTACCTTTGTGCCTAAAATACAAAATAAATTTCCGTTAAAAAAGCTAGATGGCGTTTATCAAAGATACATTAAATGGAAGAACAAGTACTCTAAATCAGCGTTTCAAATGAAATAGTATCGCATACAAAAAGTACAAAATAATTTAACATCTTAATTGATTTTGATTCTAAACTTGAACGATATATGTACATGATATGGTTGGAATCAATTTCCCATGCTTTTTTATAGTTTAATAATACAAAATCGTCACTTTGTGTTTATATAATGGTTTTTGGCATTTATGCAGTATTTTTGATTGATTAGCAAAATATTTTAAAAAATCACTTTACAATATTGTCATGATAGGAATTTAGGAAGTCCAAAGATATCGTTTTTTTTGTAATAAAGGAAAACTTACTACATAATTATGTAGCACAGAGCATATCGCGTTCATTATTATAATATTTTACTTTTTATAAACAAAACATTATATATATTAAAACGTATCATTGTGTATTCAGCTCATTTTAACGTCCCACTACTGGGGGTGGGCCTCCCTTCACTACGAGGGGGATCAGGCCATAAACCACCACGCTGGCCAAGTGCGGGCAGACTGAGTATGACTGCAGACAACTTGCTAGGTTCTCTGTGATATGAAATTTTCCTCACGATGTTTTCCTTCACCATAAGACAAGTAGTAATTATGTTGGAAATGATTCGCACATGTAAATATAAATGGTGCGAGACCCGGGAATTGAACCTGCTTCACTCGGTTTCTCAAACGAGTGAGTTACCATTGGTCTATCACTGCCTCATACGTTTCATTATTTATTTCTATACAAAAAGTGACAATTAAATCAATATCATGCTAAATATGTCTTAAATTCATTAAACAATAAGGCTGTGTACAAACGCGACGTTACCTTTTTTTTTTAAGATAATGGAAGATTATATTCAAATAACTGATACAACTTATTTTAAATGGTGTTTTAATTATTAATATTCATAGTCACTGACAAATGGTGGACCCATATTTTATTATTATTATTAATATTGTATGGCAGTAAATATTCATATAAAACTCTATTTACGAACAAGCCGACATTGTGTCTTGTATATCACATGCTATATTAATATATGTACTGCAAGTAGAATAAAACTGTCAGATATAGATAATTAAAATGACGGTTACACATTGCGCTTAACACATTTCAAGATCACGTCAAAATGAAAAAAAAAACGCTTAATTAACCGAAAATATTTAACATAATAAATTTGATTTGAAAAAAGTAAAAGAAATAGACATATTGTGAAAATAGCGTCATCGGATATGACGTTAAAGAATAAATTTCACTTAGTTTTAAAGTTTAATCAATTTCATATGCATAAATTGAATGTTTAACAATTATTTATTTTTATTTGTTAATACTTCAACTAAATTCATTTATTGTCAACTACAATTCATTGTAAAAGAAAAAAAACCGGTATTCGTTTGTATTGGTGTTCTTAGTTCAATTTACTAAAGTACATTTCATATAATTCCTATTAATTGTAAATATTGATTTTTTTTTAATATAATGAAGCTAATTACAAGGCTCTTTAGGCATAAGTTAAATCGTATTGCCATTAAATAACATACGGGAAACAACACAAATAGATAAGGGTTTTACAGACGCGGCGTTTATTATTTACGACATTCAGCTTTCGTTAACCGCTTTATTGTAATGGACAGGATTATGACACTAAATAAAAAGGACTTCTTACTAAAAATATACATATTTTTAATGAAATATGAGTGAGACTCTAGAAAACTCTTGAACTACACTTAGCTTTATATAATAAAGCGCTCAGTCATAAACGCCACGTTTGTAAACACCTTTATATTCTAATTAAATTAGTTTTAGCTTTTAAAACGAAGCAACTACATACGTTTATAATTTTGAAAATCATTTTGGCACGAACGATACTGAAAAGCCAAGAATAATTCTTGAGATCAACAAAATTCTACATTCTTAATACAAATTAATTCTACATTTAAAAACTACGAAAACAACTAAAATGTACAATTTTAGTTCAGATTATATCGTTTTAGAATATGTATTATAGTAATACAAGCGACTCACCCTCGCTCCGCTTGGGTTCGTCCCTGGTACGTTTTAACGTTTAGTATAGATTTCTCAGATATATTTTCCCGCAGTAAAAAGTATCCTAAAAATTGACCCGGATAACTAGCTCTCATCATAGCTAATTTCATCAAAATCTGTCCAGTGGCTTTCTCGTGATGCGTTTCCCAGACAGACAGGAAAAATGCTAAAAACAGTAGATTCGGCCTCTGTATCGATAATGATTATTTCAATAAGATTTCCCAAAAAAAATTAAATGCGCAGATTCGATTTAGTTAGAATTTTATTATATGTATAGATAGACTAGCATTGCCCGCGGCTCCGCCCGCGTTCAGATGACCAAAAACCAAATTCTTAGGTTTTACATATTAGTTATACTCTTACAATGAAGTTTTTGTATTTTTTTTCAGAAATGAGATATTTTCCCGCGGTAAAAAGTATCCTATATGTTGACCCGGATAACCAGCTATCATAATACCAAATTTCATCAAAATCTGTCCAGTGGTTTTCTCGTGATGCGGTAACAGACAGACAGACAGACAAAAATTCTAAAAACTATAGATTCGGACTCTATCGATAATAATATCTATTTTAATTAGATTTTCCAAAAAATATTTAATGTACAGATTCGACTTAGTTACAATTTTATTATTTATATAGATTTTTGTTATATTTTGCTTAAATTTTTATAATTGATACAAAAAAATGGGTAATTTCTCCATTATCCAATATTATATTAATATTAAACAATCATTCAAAACGAAATAATCTGAACTTCTTATAAAACTAAAGTCGTTTCTTAAATCTCCTTCAACATTTTAAAATAATTTTAAAGTTAAAATACAGTCGATATTGCAATATAGTTTAGAATGATAAAAAAATATATCATTAATTATTTTTAATATTAAATTAAACAGTATTTATTTCTAATAATTTACAATTTATTTAATCTTAAAATAAATTAAAATAAAAAAAATCTATCACTAAAGCATAATATTTAAAATACGAATGCCCGATTTCACCAACAACCCATAAGCTACCACCTACGTATGGGATCCCTAGCTTAAAAGTCGCCTAAACTAGCCCCTAAATTAAATTTCGTTTTACAATCGTCTTTAAGCCCATATTTCGAGCACCTAAATTTAGGGGGCCTTTTAATTTTTAGGTGACCCCTAACTGTCGGTGAAACAGAAACTGTCCCCTAACAGCCCCCTAACCATGCTTAGGGGATCCCTTAACCTTTATGTGACGTTGATGAAATCGGACAAATAAGTAACAAAATAAAAATTTTGTATCTTCTGCACCGGTCATTGAAAGCAAATATTTGTAAAGTATTGACTGTCAAAGAATTTGTTAAAAATTGATTTACAAAAACTTCATTAAAATTAAATATTCACTAATAACCAAAATGGATATAAATAAATCAATCGGCAAACATTTCGGTTGTCGTCATTTATTAGGGTTGTCACCGGAACATAAAAAAGATAATAATTTAATCCGAATTCTAATGCTATATTGCAACAACGATAATTGACGATACCAACCTTAACTGACACTTTGGTTGGCTATCGACACAACCGGTTGTTGGTTGTTCGCAGCAATAACCGTAGAACCGGGGGGTATTTTCTGAGGTACCATTCCGTCTATGTGCCTGTATTTTTTCAATCTAGTCCACTGTCCGTTATTGTAGTTCATTTGGAAATGCATCTCAGAGAGCATTGTTAGGTAGGTATCATCTGATTGTAGGACGTTTTCGATGTTCTCTGACAGCTTTATGGTCACTATGTTGCCAAGGTTCGGGCATGGGTTGTCTGGAAGAAAATTATTATTAGCATTTCCGTTTAGGAATTACGCTTTAGCTATTTTTATCGTGATAATTTTATTTAGTTTTAATATTATCAGATCATATTTACACAAATATCCATTTATCTAAAACGATACAATATATTACATAATATTTTTACAGCCACAATTTCTTTGTAATAAATTCTACTCTTAACCTCTCTCTAATTTCCAAAATCAATTGTATAATAAAAAATATAGAATATATTTTAACTTACTAAACAAATATAAATAAAAACTCTATAAAATCTATAGAGCTAAGCCACACTATGTACAGAACTTACTTAGTTTATATAATATAAACTAATACTTGTTTTGCTGAGGCGAGCCCCTAGATGCCTAACAGTAGCCTATGTTCTAGGTCACAGACTATTTATGTACTAAACATCCAAATCCGTCAAGCATTTTCAAGGTGAAGGAATAAAAACATACACATACAAACTTACATATTTATTGTAATAGACCAATAAATAAGTAAAAATAATAATAATAAATAATTACCTCTGGAGCCAGCCATAAAACCCAGTATGAGCGCTTTCTCAGGACGAGTGACGCGGTTCGCGTTCCGGAACATGTCCTGAGCCTCCATCATTTGCTCGCGCTGACAAACATACAATTAATAATTTTTGTTTTATTATATTATATATAATAATAATAGCAACACCATTTATAAGATAAATGAGAGGACGTGCGAGGGGCGGCCTCATCGCTGAAATAGCGATCTCTGCTAGGCAAACTTAAGATGTTTTAATAATGCAATAAAAATATTTTTTGTTATTACACTATTGCATTAATATTTTAAAAAATATTTCTTTTATAATTATAATAAGAATTATATTCCACAGTTAATAAAGTACCCAAAAATAAAATTCGATCGTAAAACAAATTTCGTAATCTGTAGAAGGTTAATATTATATGGTTCACTAACCGTAAGGGACAGTCCTCTACGCGGCAATAGCGGTTGCGCTGGTTGCGTCGCCGGTTGCTGCGGTTGCGGTTGCGGAGGCTGCGGTTTGGGTTGTTGCGGTTGTGGTTGCTGTGCTGGTTGTTGCACCGGCGCCGGCACTTGTGCTACCGGCTGTTGCATTTGTACCTGTAACGCAGTGTTGCTTAAATTTCAGTATTAAAATCTTTTGGTGGTAATAAAGTTACAGACAAATACTTATTTAGAAGGTTTGATATTTACTTATTAATCAATCTTTATACAATTATTATTAAAACAAAATAATTTACCGGATGTGCTATTTGCTGTATGGGCTGTTGAGTCTGTTGTACAACTTGTTGAGCCATCTAAAAGAACAATAATATTAATAATATTTATTAAGTGAAAACACAATTCATTCAAGTATAGCATTTAATATTAATTTTCTAATCCCAGTATTTAGTCTGCAAGAAAACTACCATCTAATCTATTTCGTTATTGCATTTCTCTAAATAAATGACCTTTACAAATAATAGTTTATAAGACCTATAAATAAACGTATAGGTTTTTTTTTCTTTTTTCAGTAACAGTTTCACAATATATGTAATAGTTTCTATGGTGTGTATTCAGCCCTTTTTATCGTCCCACTGCTGGGCACGGGCCTCCCTTCAGTACGAGGGGAATCAGGCCATAGTCCACCACGTTGGCCAAGTGCGGGTTGGCGGACTTCACATGTCTTTAGAAAACTTGCTAAGTTCTCTCAGACATGCAGGTTTCCTCACGATGTTTTCCTTCACCGTAAGGCAAGTGGTAATCATGTTAGAAATGATTCGCACATGAAAATATCAGAGGTGCGAGACCCGGGATTTGAACCCGCTTCACTCGGTTTCTCAAGCGAGCGCGTTACCACTGGGCTACCACTGCCTTTCTATGGTGATTATGGTTAATTATTACTATTGAGGCAGTGGTAGCTGAATGACTACCACTCGCCACGCCCTATGCGCTCGCTTAGGAAACCGAGTGAAGCGGGTTCAAATCCCGGCCTCGCACTTATGATATTATCATGTGCGAATCATTTCCAACATTATTACCAATTGTCTTACGGTGAAGAAAAACAACATGAGGAAACCTGCATGTCTGAGAGAACTTAGCAAGTTTTCGAAAGACATGCTCAGTCCGCCTGCACTTGACCAGCGAGGTGGACTATGGCCTGAGCCCCCTCGTATTGAAGGGAGGCCCACTGCCAGCAATGGGATGTTAAAAAGACCTGAATACATAAATACATACATACATACACTTTTTATAATAGTAAACATAATACACTAACCGGCTTGATATTCTGCAAAAGCACAGCCTTGCCACCACCCTGCAATATCACAGCAGAGTTGAGAAGGTTCTGCGCTGAAAGTAGCACGGGCTTTCCTCCTCCTGCGATCAGCAGCTTGGGTTGCTGCCCTATCACTATCGGCTTTGCTCCCGTTCCCTGAACAGATACATATCAGTAGATTTTTTAAAGTTAAACTTCTTTAGAATCACTGTAAATAAAGACAAACATATTATAAATATTAAGCCGGTGAGAGAATGAGATAGAATACATTACCATGTTGCCATAGTAACCATTGTTGTTGTCTGACAAATATATAATATTATATTCTTTTCATATATGATATTCTATAAATAAATGATTGTAATATGCCTTATTTAATTATTAATTTGTTTTAATTTAATTGCGATATTTACCAAAGTAGTTTTTACTATAACCGCGCGTATATATATAATATACCCATATTTTTTACATTTTATAAAAAAAATCAGAGTGAAATAATCGTCAAAGTTTAGGTATAAGCACCCACATCATTTTCCACATGATCTCTACCTCTTTCGTGCATTATTATTCTTGTTTTAAAAATTTTAAAAGATTATCGGCAAATAATGTATGACGTGTTCTAGATACATGGAGTGGTAATATAAACTGGCTGGCAATGGTCTGACGCGTAGAGCTGAAGATCGACTCAGTACTAAAGAATAAATAGTCCATTCGCAATTGAGAAAATAGCGAGTCATCAAATGCAACAGCAGGCAAAGGTGTATTCAAAGGGGAATAAAATAATTTAAATATATTTCATTATATTCGAATATATAACGATAATAACTTTATTTTGATTTGACATAAATAATCAACTTAATTATCTCAAATCAAAATAAGAGTCAATAATTAGTTGGTCGGGGGGCGTGGCTAGGCCGGTGGACACCGATGACTCATTATTTTCTTAACGCAAATGAACTATAGTAGGCATAACGTTGGCTCACAATTACAAGGTTCTATGTTACAATTTTAGTACTTATTTAGTTATTAATGCTACAAGGTTCTATATGTCATTAGCTACAGTTTTGCAAAAACAAAACACTAGATAGCGGCACTTAAACTACAAACTATTAAATTTTACATAGTTCTATGTTATTTTTTTACGATAACAAAATAACGAAGTACTATGTAAAAATTACTAAACTTTATTAAAATTAACATAGAAGCTTGTAATAGTGAGCCAACGAATTATGCCCAACAGTGTATGAAAATATGCATATAATAACGACGATGATGATGGTGGTGGTGATAAGGGTGTATAAACCCACCTGTTGTACGAGCAAGGGCGTGGCGGGCGGCGCGTGAGGCGGCGATGGCGGGGCTTCGCCCTCGGTGCCCTCCGCAGCACCCTCCGTCGTTTCCGTCGCAGACTCGCTGCTTGTTGCTGCTGGAATGTTAATACTATTAATAAGGACATTAACACAGAGCACCATCTAGTTCCATGGTAAGCTTTTTATGGCTTGTGTTATAGATACCAGATAGTTGATACACTACACATATGTATATAACTTTAAATACATACATATTATAAATATAAAACACCCATGACTGGAGTTCAAACATTAGTGCTCATCACACAAATGAAGCCCTCCCAGCGGGACTCGAACCCGCGACCGCTGGCACAGTCAGTACACTACAAACTGAGCCAAACGTGTATGCATATGTTTTTTCTCTCTTTCGCTTAAATTCGACTCTTTCTATTATTTCTTTTGATTTCTTAGATAACTAGGTGGACTACGGCCTGATTCCTCTCGTATTGAGGAGAGACTCATGCCCAGCAGTGACATGTTAAAAAAAGGCTGAATAAATAGATAGATAGTCACTTATATTACTTGTACTGTAGCTTTTATAATATTTCAATAGGCTTATAAATAATAACAGCCTATTTTCAATTCCATGTAGCGGCTCACAATGATACATGTGTGTATGAACAAAGGGCATTTGAAAACTCAAAATACGATAGCAATATAAAACCCTAAAGTGACACGTTTCTGATATGCTATTACTATGCTGACACTACAAACTCGATAATCCGCCATTCCTATTCCCATTCATTACCGTGGATAATATATACATTAGAGTGGAGCGAAAAAAATAATCTTTTTTTTTCGTAGCGTAGAATTTGTAGCTTCTTAATTTTTAAAATAAATAATTAATTTTAATTTTTGGTTTGAATAATTTTTTTTGCGTCATCTTTGAAATCAATGAAATTTGAGTAGAAAATGACTGTATTCGTCAATTTTTGAATTTTTCAAAGATCAAATAAGTCGAAAAAAATCCATTCAAACCAAAAATTTAAATTAATTATTTATTTTCAAAATTAGTGAGCCTCCTCAAAATGTTGAGTAAAAATTTTTTTTTCATTTAAAAAGAAATGTTTTTTATAAGCTACAAATTCTATCTACCCTAATACACATATAAAACTTACTTGGTGTCTGTTCGTCCGCTTTGGGCATTTGGAAGTTGTTAAGACCCTTTGCATAATCTGGTGGAGGCGATGAGGGTGCTGCAGGAGTTGCTTTCTTGGCACCTTCCTCCATTTCTAAATAAAAAAAACAGTCAATATAAGAAAATGTCAAATGTAAGAAAATATGTTATTTTCTTGGTTCTGTGGTTTATAGGCAATGCCATTCGAGCACAGTTTACTCCGCCAATGTCGTGTAGAATGAAGAAGACACAGTAGACATTGAGAGTTGATCGGTTTAAAAAAGAGATATTCACACTGAGGACTGATAACATTTCAAATATGAGGAATTTATTGTATAATCTGGACATACAACAAACAAGACGTCACAATAAAGTATAATGTAAGAAAGTAAGAAATTAAAATTATATAATTATTAAAAAGAAAGTGTTATTTTACATTTTAAACTAGCGACATCCCCTCACTTCGCTCGCGTGCTTCCCTACTCTGCATATGTTTTAAATGGAAAAAAAGTTATTGTGAGTGTACCTTAGGAGACACATACATACATCGCGTACTTTTTCGTGAAATTGTAAATTTAAAAAATGCGTAATTTTTAAGGGTTTTCGATTTTCGCGCTGCAAATCAACTTTTTATCAATAAAACATTCCCCATATGTAGCTCTACAAACTCTTTATCTTTCAGTGAAAGTTCCATTAGAATCGATTAAGCCGTTCCAAAGATTACCGCGAATAAACAGAGACACGCAGACTTCTTAGAAAAAAAGTAAACAGTAAAAGAGTTTAATAGTTTCACTGTAAATGCACTGACTTAAAAGTAAAAACCAGAACCCTAATACGATGTATATGTGTATGTCTGTCTATCACTGATTTACATATATACACACACTTAAGTCTGCATGTCCGTCTGTCACTGATACATACCCAACTTCCTCCTCTTCTTGATCTGTGCATGTGTTGCCGGTTGCTCGGTGATGTCCAACAGCTTGATACCAGACCTGGGTGGAGGGCGTGACACGGGCGGCACCCGGGCCCCCGTGCGCGCCGCCCAGCGGGATGGAAGACCTTTGAGAGGCGCTGGAATATGCATATTGGTTAAAGACTTTTGACGACACGTTTAATTCAGTTTGTAGTGACGCGCAGCGGTCGCGGGTTCGAGTCCCGCTGGGGGCATCCATCAGTGTGATGAGCACGAATTTTTGTACTCCAGTCATGGGTGTTTATATTTATAATGTGTATATTGTATCTATTTAAAGTTATATATGTGTAGAGTATTAATATTTAGAAAAAAATTGACAACGTCAAACCAAAATTTATAGTGTGTTAAAATTTATTTTATAATATATACGAAAATAACATTAAACTTTAATTAATAGTATAAAAAATGTTTTAAAAGACAAAAATATCGAAAGTGTATCATATTACAAGACATAATCAGAGATATATGTAAGAGACATATCATAAGACACATTCCGCGATAAACAATAGCACTCCCAAGGAGGATTGACGTCAGGCAGGCGGCCGGTCGTAAAACTTTTGCCAAATCCTTTCAGCAGTACACAGGATGTACTGCGCCGACCCCAAGTAATTGGGAAATGGGCAGGGAGAAGAAGAAGAAGAAGAAGAGTATTAACTATTGGTATCCATAACAGAAGAAGAAGAAGAGTATTAACTATTGGTATCCATAACACAAGCCTCGTAGCTTAGTCTAGTTCCATGAACTAGATGGTGCTGTGTGTTAATGTCCCAACATATAAAAAAAAAGACTTGCATTGAACTCGTCTGTTTATTTGTCCAAACTACCAATTTACCGAAAGTGTTTTTAATAAAGAATTATTGATGATTAAATGTCAATTCTATTGTTATTAAATACACATTACATCCATTTTACTTTGTTTAAAAGATGTATTCTATCCATGTATGTATATTACATATGTGTAAATCTTTGTTTTTAAATAGGGGGAAAAGACTATCTTCCGTAAAGAACAACAAGTATTGTTAGTTTGAACAAATAAGCCCTAAGGTGACCTGTCTTTGGGAGTTATGACAGTGCCGATAAACAGGCTCGATATTATCGAGCAAAAACGAGCAAAAAAATCACGTTTATTGTATGCGAGCCCCCTTAAATATCTATTTTATTCCGTTTTTAAGTATTTGTTGTTATAGGGGCAACAAAAATCATAATCTATGAAAATTTCAACTCTTTAACTATCACAGTTCATGAGATACAGCCTGGTGACAGACGGACAGACAGACAGCGAAGTCTTAGTAATAGGGCCCCGTTTTACCCTTTGGGCACGGAACCCTAAAAAAAAACTATGGCTTTATGCTATTAGTAATAATGTATAGATACTTATGTGGCCTAAAACGTTCCTCAATAAACGAGCTATCTTATACAAAAAGAATCTTTCATCTAATACATTCAAGATATTGTACTAAAAATCCAATAAACATATTTTTTTAAATGTGATAACCAAGTAGCAAAGAATAAAAGAAAAAATATTCCACAGAATATCATATTACTAACAACAATATTGTGTAACTAATAAATTTATGTGGGTTTACCTGCACTTATAAATAAATAATAAATATGTTGGGATATTAACACACAGCACTATCTAGTCCCACGGTAAGCTACGAGGCTTGTTTTATGGATACCAGATAGTTGATACACTACACGTATATAACTATATACATACATATTATAAATATAAACACTCATGACTGGATTACAAATATTCGTGCTCATCACACAAATGAATGCCCCCAGCGGAACTTGAACCCGCGACCGTTGGCACAGCAAGTAGGATCACTACAAACTGAACCAAACGAGTCGTCGAATAATATATGTAATTACAAAATTTCCTCTAAGATTTAGTATGGAATTTCGTAAATACCCTCAGAATAAGCATGAATTTAAGTTATATTATTATCATCATAACATCCTTTATGAAGACTAGACTTAAAATTGTTAAGCCTATCCTATCTGCGTATATTAAAAGATTGTCGTTAAAATTGTTATAGATAGGTTCGTCCCTAGGTACGATTTAACAGTTAATATAAATACAAATCTTTGAATTTCTCTACTTTTCTGTACTATAATATGCATTTATTATACATATACATAAACCTTCCACTTAAATCACTATCTATTGCTGAAACCTGCATTAAAATCCATTAAGTATTTTAAACGATCTAAGCGAACAGACAGCGGAACCGACTTTATTTTATACTATTTAAAAGTATAAAATATATATAGGTACACCTTTTAAACTTTAACATTTTTGATGAAGACCTTTTTATTAGCCTTTTTTTATAATTTACGTTTTTGTAAATTTTTGTAAAAAGTAACAAAAAAGTGACCTTAAAAAAGGTGTTCAATTATATGCACCATTTTTATTTCTATTTCAATAAAATTAATTGAAATAATCTAATATTGCTGCAACGGCAATAATATAATACAATTCTGAGTCGAATCTGTACATTAAACATTTTTTGAAAATCTTATTGAAATAGTCATTATTATAGATACAGAGGCCGAATCTATAGTTTTTAGAATATTTGACTACAGATTTTTCAGAGGTCATTACGAAAATACAAACAACTTATATGTTTAAAAGTAATTTAGAATAAGAAATTGTTAAGCAAAACTAAACATGTCAAACTGACCAAAACTAAAATGCTGTAAATAAAAGAAATATTTACAAAAATAAAAAAATCCGACAGCATAAAAAGCAAACTAAAAAGAAGAAACCAAGTGTACGAAGGAACATAGTATTATGCAGTTGGAGACATACATATATATAATGTATGTTACATTATAATAGCTGTGTTCAATTTGCTTTTTATGCCGTCAAGTTTTTTCTATTAAATACATACATCTTGCAATTACACCTCACATTCACTGTGCAGTTGCATTTAAACAGTTATTTTTTCCTTTATTAATCATAATACCATTATAAGGAAGAACTTACTTGTGTCAGTCATTTTCCTAGGCATGCCTCGACTACGTACAGGCACTGTTGGTGCTTGGGCTTTTTTCTGATTAGCTTGCGCTTCTGCCGCTTTGGCTAACAACTCACTACGTAGAGCTACTGATTTGGGTTTTCGTTTCAATGTAAAATGTTTTACTGGATTGGGTTGTTGACCCACCTGTTGAATTACATTGTTTAATTTCAATGTTATTGTTACAAACAAACATTTATTATTACTAATATAATAAAATTATAGAAAGTACTCATTAATTTATGTATAAATAGGACAAAATTATGAAAGTTGAATATTTCTTGTTGCAAAGAACATTATTTATTTAAAAAAAAGGAAGATATACTTCAAATAACTACAAAAGTAATAATTAAAAAGTTGAAAAGAAACAACAGAAGCAATGTAAATATTAAAAAATATTTTAAATAATTCACTAACCACAGATACTAAGGCATTTTTGTTTAAGTATAGGCACTCAAGTGGTAACAGACCAAGGTCTGAATGTTTGTTTAGAGCTCGTCTCAGCTCTCCTATCATATCACTGAAGATAGGCCTAGTCTCATCAAATTCTGCTATCTCTGTATTAAGAGTGCCCGCTGAAGGGAATGTTTTGAGAACTTCAGCGAGCATGGCCACCCAAAGGTCTGAATCCACTGCAGCCACTTCAATAATCTCTTCCAATTCATTTCTCCACTAAAACATACATTATTTTTACTGAAAACATAGTTATTGTTTTGATGACATAGTTATTGTAATAAGCCACATTAATTCTTGAATATAAAATTAATGCAATAGCATTATGAAAACCATCAATATGTATACAAATTAGTAATCATTAATCACATAATATACCTAATCATAATCTTAGAATGATATGATATTTATGTGTGAATGATATCATATAGAAACAAGTGAATTTAATATAACCTATATAAAGTTACTGCAGATTCTTTTATTTGAATACATAGATTTAAGTTGTGATATTATATAGTGTATGTAATAACTATGTAAAAGACAAAATATGCAAGTTTTGTTTATAGAAACAGCATGTACAAAATACGTACATATTTATTATAGTCACAGTATAGGCATATGTATTTTTTTAAAGTATTATAGTTTAGAAAGTAAACGTTTTGTATTACTCTTTAGTTTTTAAAACATCAAAACACGCCAAATTTTCAATATTTCAACAATTATTATATGACAACAAATAATACTTCACAATTTCAATACACATATCTCTTTTTAACATATTACTCATCAATTAGAAATGAAAGAGACGACGCACAAAATACAGTTACGCAAAACCATAGAACAAGAAAGAAAAGTTACCTCTTCAACATTTCTGCGCGGGATATGAAAGAAACTTAGCAATAATTTAAGTTTCACTTGTGTTTGCAAATCTGGAAAGCAATCCTTGATATTTTTAAGAACTTCGGCGTTTAATTGTGTACAAATTGAGCCGCTTGTCCAAGAATCATTCGATGTTCCGAGTTTATTGTGGAGCCACAACGATGTGTCACTATCCCGCACGTTCGCCATCTTGCAACTGAGATAGTGACGTATATGCGAAGAGCGCAGGTAGCGTATGCTATGCTTTGGTCACTTTAAAATAAATTTTCATATTACAGATTTCTTAACAATGGTAGTTTAAAATATTCCTTTATTTGTTTTATATTTAATTATTATTAAATACATAATGTAAAAAAATATTTCATTTTTTGCAATTTTAAACTTATTATTATATACAATAATAATGTTAAATAGTCACTTTGCGCTAGTTTATCATATGAAAATAAAAATGGAAAAAAAAACTCTTTAATAATTTATTTAATTTTTTTTTTGATTCAGTAAATAAAACTTTAAGTAAAACATGCACATCACTAGATAAAAATCTATGATTTTACTTGCTATTATGGTCTACGGATATTAGTAGCCTGTGGTAACGACTAAAATGTTTATTATTCGTCTATGTTTTATGTTTGTAATGTTTATAGCTTTGCACGTTATAATTACATTTTCATTTAAAATAAATAAATAGGTTTTTATTAGAGATAAGATTACTAAAAAAAGATATACAAAACCACAAATAAAATACCAAAAAACACCTATCTATATAGGTAGCATTTTATTTCAATAGTCTATATATACTCTAATTCTATGGTATGTTCATACTTCATAGTCATACTATGTTGACAATTGACATTTGATGATACGCGCGGTCTTTTTAAATTGTATTTTATTGATTTATTAAGCACGATCTCACTTAGTGATATGTAACTAACATAAGTATTATTTAAAGCTATTCAGAAAACAATAATAATATTACTGTCGAATAGTCATGAGTAAAGATAGCGAAACATCGGTTCAAATAAATATATATGAAGAATACTTTAGTGAAGAAATCACACTCAATTTATCATCCAAGGAGTTAATATCTGTTCCAGAAACTAATAACAGATATTTATGTGTAAGTTTTATTGTTTATACATATTATTGTGTTTTTTGTTCAATTAGTAATAATTTAAAGCAATTGTATTTTAGGTTCTTTATTTACAAAATAATAAGTTAAGAGCACTTCCTGATGATTTCTTCCCATCTCTACCTAATCTTAAGTGGCTGGACTTAAGAAATAATGAATTATTGGATATTCCACAAACTATAAAAAATCATAGATCGCTAACTCATTTTCTTTTACAAAATAATAAAGTCACGTCTTTACCAAATGAGTTGGGAACTGTAACGACTTTAAAAGTACTTCAATTAAGCGGAAATCCAATAATGTATCCGCCAAGAGATATAATTAACGCGGGAACTTCAAAAATTCTATGTTTTCTCCATAATAAACTTGTTGAAGAAATGTTTGAGGAATCTCAGTCTATTGCATCAGATAAAGCGAGTGAAAGTGGACATGGCCTAGAAAAATTTATACGTGAGGGTCGCAGTTATAATTCCGTAATAGATGCCGCTAAAATACAACGTAAGGCTTTGTCTGTGCAATTTAATGAAAAAGATATGTCTGAACATGATGATGAGCAAGACCATTATTATACTAAAATAAAAGGTAAATGCCCCAAACTGCCAAAAAGCAGAACAAAAATTCTACAACCTTATAATCAGAGCGCAAAATATTTAAAACCACTTAGGGTATGCTCAAAGAAAGTACAAGAAGATAAAATCAAACAGAGCTACTTTAGGGACCTGGCACTTAAAAAACAAAAAGATCTGATTGCAAAAATAGATAAGATATTGCAAGGGAGAAGGTGAGAATTCAATAATTTCTTTGAAAGTAAGCTTTAATATAACGATTATCATAAGATTGAAAAAAAATAATGTCCTTACTCCATACTAAACTTTTACAAAAGTTATAGGGCTTTTGTAAATTTTAAGTTAGAGAGAGAGACATTAACTATCTTAACAAAAAGTGAGTCATTGTTCTATTTATCTTTTGTTACCACCAATATAAAAAAATCACGATCTCTTTATCTGGTAATTTCTGGAAAATCGTAGCTAATTTTAACGGGATTTTTAGTGCAGTAGTCTCATATCACCATACTAAATTTCATAAAAATCCCTCCTGTGGTTTTTCTGTGATGCAGTAACAGACAGACAGACAGACAAAAATTCTAAAAACTATAGATTCGGCCTCTGTATCGATAATAATGTTTATTTCAATAAGATTTTCGAAAAAAATATTTAATGTACAGATTCGGCTTAGTTACAATTATATTATATGTATGGATTTGTATTCAGTAGAGTAGAAGAGTAGGCTGAAAGAGAAATAACTTGTTATTAAAATTTAGGTATTTCACAAGTAAAAATTATCAATTTTTTAGAAATATCGAACTCCTTCGCAATTGGCAAAAAGACTACAAATATAGACAAATGACACTGTCATGCGATAATGACACTTATAAACTGATACCCAAGGTCTATCCTTACGACACTAACCCAGAATATATGACGCTCTTATCACGGGAGGACATAGAAAAAGATTTACCGGATAAATATAAAAGGAAATTATTCAGAAAATCCAAACCTACTGTGCCTAGAAAAAGTAATAATGATGTGCATTTGGCAATGAAAATTAAAGAATTGTTTGAAAATTTGGAAGCCATTGATTTGAATAGAGACACTATGTCGCCTAGAACTGAGCAAAAAATTTTATTAGGTGAAATACAAAAGGTATTATCAATAATTTTATTAAAAATCAGACTTGTTTTTCAATATTAGTTTATTCTTTCTCTGTCTCACAACATATTTTAATTTTGCATGAGGTTAGTTTATAGGTTGTAGTGACAGATTATTTTTTATTAGACACTAACGACTTACTCGCTTCGCTCGGATGCGTCCGGAGTCTTTGAGCGGAACCCTAAATCGTTTTCTAAAATAAAAGTAACCTAAATTACTCCTCTTAACATTGGCTATTTGCCAGTGAAAGTCCCATCAAAATCAGTCCAGCTGTTTCAAAGATTAACCAGAACAAACAGACAGATAAAAAATTTAAAAATTGTACCCTGTAAAATTTCATAAGCATTTAGTAAAAAGCTGTTATTTTGACATTACAAACTGACACTCACATTTTGTTTATCTGTATTGATAACATTGTAATCATGGATGACAAATAAAAATTGTAATGTACTTAAAAAAACAATTCGGTTAAAATAAAAACCCTTTAATTCTTTTTTCAGATATCAGAAATAAAGCAAAAGCTGCTAGAACTTTCAACTACAAACACGAGATCTGTCACAATAGAATAATAAAAGAAAACTTCATTTGAGAAATTTATTTTATTCATACATTTATTATTATATGTATTAGGTTTTTAGAAATAAAAATCTTTGATATTTCAATAAACTTTATTGATTCATCACGATGGCCGGCACCATAAAATATTCATTAATAACATAATTCAGGATAAGCATAGACCAATAAAAAAGCAAATTATGTTAGTCATTTTAAATACGGACATTAGTATCTACAGAAATAAACAAAAAAGCTGTAAATATTTACTATTCAATAAGTGACATTCAAATATGTATGCAATTGAGTTTTAGATATGGAAAAAATAAACATACTCTTTAGAAATAAAAAGCCTTTTTACATCTCGTTTCTTTCAATTTTAAACTTAATTTTTAATGTACACAAAAATGTGCTTGACTTTAGTTCTTACATATAAAAAATACTCTATTCATTACACATTCTATATATTTTCGAGTTGTTCTCATTAAAAGAATTGAGGCAGAATTTCTGTACAAATAAAATTTTAACAACTTTTGGAAAAATTTACTTAATGTTTGAGTAATATAAGATTTTTTATTAAAAAATGTTGCATAAGGCATAATAAAAAAAACGAGCTACTGAAACTAAATTAAAGATATTTGCAGTTAATACAATGACAGATGTCGTCTTCTTAATATTAAACTTAAAAAAACATTATACAGCATGATTAATTAAAATAAACTATAATTAACATAGTTTTTTCATTACATACATGTATTTATGTTGGTAAGACGACGAAGTGTTTGGTTTATTTTTTTAAATTTTCCACCAGTTATGTAATTTTTTTGTTTTTTTTTTTAAACTTGGAATGCTATAAAGCGTGATTACGAAATGTTTAGAGCGTATTATACCTATCACTTATCTAATGGAAGAAATTTATAAAAAAAGCACGTAAACAAAACATTTATAAAGGAACATGATTTTAAATCATTGTGCAAGTTTTTAATTGCTTTATCAATAAGCATTTACATTTTTAAATCTTATTAAATACTAATAATATGTAATTTTCATTACAAAAAAAAACGTTTTTTTTTTACTTTTGTTCAATACAAATTTTATACTATTATCCTTTTTAATACCTATTTTAAATAACTGATTATTTTTAGCTTTTGTTGACGTTTTATATCTTCACTACACATTCATTATGTAAGAATGAAAAAAGTTATCATTTCTAGTTTGAAACCAATAATTTTTAGATTCACATTAGATTTAACATAGTTTCAAGCAATTTTTTATACTTCAAAGTTAATTTTTAATCATTTTTGTAATTATTTTTATAATTATTTAAGCAAAAGAATTTTAAAAATAGTACAATCTAACCACCGACCATATTAGTTAAAATACTTAATCGCTAAACATCGTATTATACGTAATACATGTTGTCAATACATAATATACATCTGTCTAGACTGCAAAGTTTTATCATAATTTACCTAGTAACTTAGATTTAATGCATTTCGACAAGAATATATATATTAAACAGTAGTAAACACTACTTATAAATAAAATAGACTACATATAATTCGACATCTAATCCATTCACAGCACTAATAGAATTTTCTAGACATACCAATACTCTAGGGATGTTATGGAGCTCCGTAACCGTATCCGGAATTATCGGATATCCGAAATTGGAATGTATCCGAAACCGTAACCGAATCTGATACAAAAGTTTAATAAAGACTAATTTTGGATAGGGCATTTAGGCAAAGTCCAAATGAGACATGTTATGACAGGTTTTCGTCCGGCCGAACTACCACACAGGCCACGCGCATTTTTTTGCATTTTTTAGATAGTTTTTATTATTTCTTTTGCTTAAATGTATAAAAATGTAGTCTAGTCATATTGTAATCCAAATGATAACCTACAAATAAACCCAAATCATTACCTATTTGTATTTCTTTTTACAATCCCTCAAAATAATATCCGTAACTGAAACTATCGGATAATCCGAAATTATTTTATATCCGTAACCGTATCCTAAACCGATTAAATGCATTCATATATCCGTACCCATATCCAGATCCGAAATTTAATAACCATAACATCCCCGCTACATACCAGCCTTTATTCACGCGTAAAAATTTTCAGTCAAACTCTCACCGGCAGTATAAGGTTCTATCGAGCGACATTTTTACTCAGTCTTTGCCATCCTTGACTAGGCTCAATTGTCCATTTCCACATTAAATTATATCGTAAGTTGTTGATTTTTATCTCAAAACAAGATATTTTTCTTGAGAAACATGCACATGCAAATGTCTTTAATTATTATGAAAGTAAAATAATTTATATTAAAATATTTTAAAGTATGGTTTTTTTTATTATATTTCAGATAAGCATATGATAATTAGGAGAATATTTTTAATGTGGAAGCTGATTTAACACATGACACAATTCATAAATAAAAATCCACAACATACGATGTACTAAAGCTACATTTTACAGATATTTTAAACCTTATTTCAATGCATTACGGTCAAGACATGTAATGAAAAATTCTTAAAGAAAATATTTATATTTAATCTGTAGTATTTGAAATTAAATGTACATTTACTTTTTTAATTTTCTATTTTTTTTCAAATATAAAAATGTAGACCAACAAACAAAAACAATATTCTTGATTTCTTATAAATTAACACAAATATAATATTTCTTTTTATAATTTTACTTTATTTATCTGTATGCTTAAGAAAAGTAAATTTTTATATAATCATAAAAAATAATAAAACTGGATAACTGCACAGTAGAAATGCATAACATTAGTTAAATTTTAAAGTTTTACACATGAAAGAAATATTTGTATAAGTTGCCTGTTGTGAAATAAACTTTTACCAACTAAAGTTTTTACTGTATTTTTTATAAATATGAACCTATTATTTCACTTAAGTTTCTAGATTTGTGTGAATCTAACCTTTGAAACATTATTTTGAGTGTTTTTAAATCTTACACGCTTCTTTATTGAGACTGTTTAAAAAAATACGTGTAAAAGACATTTTTACTAAATGTCTTCTAGACGTAAATTGATTCATTCATTACAATTTCAACCCAAGTATCTGAGTCTGAGTATACATTCAAATTACTGAGTACAAGAGTCAAAGTATATATTTCAAAATGTTCTAATTTCCAGTAAATTAAAAAATTATAGAATAAATTTTGAATAAATTCCAGACAGAGATTTTGACAACACAATTAAAAGGAAGACGTTTTTAGAAATAATAATTTAATACACGATTCGACACGTATCAAAAACTAGATTCGAGAAAACCCTAAAGAACTTCAACTGAAATATAACTAACTAGAATATTTTTAGTGACCATTTTTTTATTTATTCATTAATTGCTAATATTATCATACAATAAGTCTTGTAATTTTAGCGTTTATCTTCTCTCTAAAACTAATGAACTAAATACTTTTTAGTTCAATTTTATTAAGTTAAATCCGATTGGATCGAATTTTAAAATCGATTGGATACAGAATTCATCCATTATAATCGATAATGGATAATATTATTCATTTATGAGTATGTACATATTATTATATTTATGACAGACAGATAGTACACTTACAATGTATACAATGTAAGGGACAATTTTCTCATACATGATACTTATTTATACAAATACCGTTTTGTTCATGTACGAGTATATTCATATTAAATGCTCTCCTGCTGACAATATTCATGTTTTTTTTTTATTTTTTTTATTAGAATATATCATAGTATTAATTGAACATTAAATATTTTTTATAAATACTTCAGATTGTAGAGTAGCATTTAATAAAATAGTATGGAGGGTAGAGAAGGAGAACCAAGGATATTATAAGGGAGATAAGATGATAAAGTAAGTGTCCACCTGTAAGCGGTAAATAACAGTTCAAAAACCCACCAGAATGGCACCAGTGTAGATGCAGGGTATCGTATGAAGTGTGTGTGTGCGTGTAAGTGTGCTGATTGAAAAATGTAATATTTTTTGGGTGATTAGAGTTGTTACAGAAACTGCAGTATGCAAAAACATCGCCTATATATACTTAGTCCAAAATAAGTTAATAAATATAACCTTTTTTTCTATAATGGCTTATAGTTGCGTTAACAGACACAATCCATTCTGCCAGTGTCACGTTTTGTGAGGAAGACACGAATGAGATTGAGCGGTAATTTTAAAATTTAGTAACTTTAATGTGGATTTAAAACTATAAATGAATGATCGGTCTACAGAAGTAACCTACAACAATATAAAATAAAATATAACCTTATAAACTGCTGTGAGATAATGTATACGTAATCTAATGACTTTTGCGCTTTTTTCAAAATCTTTCCTGCTTCTATTGTGGCGCCATCATAATTTAACGCATTTAGACTGGCATTTCTTATATACAGTGACGGTTCTCCTCACCTCTACCTTCCGTATGAAACAGTTTACGGTTTACGTCATTAGGTCTGTATATATAGGTCTGTATTTATTTTATGACAAATTTGGTCATTTGTTTTGTAAATTTTAAATTAAATGAAAACCAAAATGCTTATTAAAAATCTTATTAGATTTTTAACATGGTTGCATTATATAAGGGGTAAATAATTTGATATTAATTGAAGTATTGAAACTATAATATTTTATGTAAACATTGCAACAGATAAAAAAATTACCCCAACATTTTTTATTAATATTGAATAAATTTATTAAGACTTTGGCTTTGAAAAAGATTTTTTTTTCATTAAACGCATGTACACATTATTCCCAATTTAAGGACTAGATAAAACGACATTATACAATAGTTTAAAAACTCAGAAAATTAAAAACATATATATGGGAATGACATATTATAAAACTTTGATGTAACACTAAAACATGTCTACATGTAATTTTTAAAATTTTTAGTTTTCTATAAACGTAAACAATTAAAGAATGCATCTATCTTTAATCCTTTTTTACCTATATGATATATCTTATCATATTTTGTCGTTATGAAAGATGAAAAATACCTATTTTTTAAATTTTGCAAGCATCTTTTTATATTTGTCATATTGTGAAGTAAAAAAAGTTTACTTTAGTTATAATTTTTACGGACTTAAAATATTAAAGAATAGAGTTTGTAGGCTCCGTAAACTCGTATTCCTTTATAAACTACAAAATTGAGTGTTTCAAATACTGATTACCTGAAATCATATTTGTATAATTCCGACTTCAGACAGTCCGACTATATAATATTAAAGTGTAAAAAAGAATACAAACTATAGTTGCATAGAGCGTGTGACAAGAACACCACAAATGTCATCACCGTAGTGTTGTAGGTGATGATGGCGTGACGTCATGATTGAAGGGCTCGCGTCATCACCGTAGCTGTCACTGTGATGACATCGCGTGTGACGTCACTGCAGCGGCTGGAATTTGACCACATGAGTAAAATTATCCGTATAAAAACAAAGCTTTATACAACCGTCGTTCGTCGTGTGCGTTTTTTTTTTTGAGCTGACGTTTCATACTGAGCTTACGCAGCAGCTCGAGTCGAAAAAAAACCCGGTTTTGTCACAATTAGCGTCTCAAAAGTGTCCTCAAAGGAAGTGCACAATTCAAAAATAAATTTCGCTTTTTTTAAATCTTTTTTTTGTGGTGTGAGCAAGTTCGAATTTGTGTTTAGACAATTATAACTTTCGATTTTTGAATTTTATTCTTTTGTTTCACTTAACGTCACATATCGACGCCACTTTTTGAAGAGATATATTTTATTAGGAAATATGTATCTATATTATTACATATATCATGTGTATTGTAGTAGGCTTCATCTCTATATACATACGTATACAATAGTGTTTAGAAAGCGCGCGCCAGGAACACGCGCCCGGAGCCGCGGCTGACCTCCACGAAGCCCAGCTTGGCGTAGAACTGCTGCAGATAGTGGTCTGTAGTGTTGATGCACGCGTGCACGCCGCTCACACCTGTCGGTTTTTTTGGGTTTCTTTATACATGTTTTGTAATAAAATCGATTTTACAATCCTTAAATAATTAAAAAAAAAGAATATATTTAAAAAATTCTTTGAAGTTATACTTCTTTTGGCACGGTTGGAAAAAAATATGAAGGGAACATTTTTACGATGTGCGCGCACACCGATAGCTAAAGCGACATCTCTTTGGTTCCCTTTAAAATTCATAACTATATTCAAAGTAGTCTCTCAAATATTAATAAACCTAGAACACGTGGTTTATATTAAGAAAAAAAAGAGATAAAAATTTTTTTGATTGCTCATTTATCATTCCTTTTACAAACAGAGAGTTGTGAAGTATGGGATGAAATCTTTAACTATTTTTGTTCTGACTTCTTACGTGCTTACTTAAGTTCACACACACATTTTTTATAAATAAAATGATGATATCACAAAAATAAAAGTAGTAGGCCGTAGCCATTAAATCTGATCAAATATTAAAATACATGCTTGTGTAACATAACAGTGTCACAACTTTGATATAAAGAATTAACTATGTCACAGATTACATATGTATATATGGATGACGTGAAAAGTTTAAAATTCGATAGAAAGGATTTTATAGGAAACAAAAAACGTGTATGCACTAACCGTGCGCGCGCAGCGCGGCCAGCAGCGCGGTGAGCAGGCGCGCGGGCGCGTGCGGGTCGGCGCGCGCCGGCAGCACACACACCGACAGCAGCGCCGGATGTGCGCGCGCCACCGCCGCCGGCGCGCGCTCCTGCTGCGAGAACTCGTGGAAGTGCCGCACGCACTCCTACGACCGGACAACGACATGTTCAACATTCATATATATACCATTTTGGCCGTTGCAACAATATTTAATATTTATTTGTGTTCAGCCCTTTTTAACGTCCCACTGCTGGGGGTGGGCCTCTCTTCAGTACGAGGGGGATCAGGCCATAGACCACCACGCTGGCCGAGTGCGGGTTGGCGGACTTCACATATCTGTCGAAAACTTGCTAGGTTCTCTCAGACATGCAGGTTTCCTCACGATGTTTTCCTTCACCGTTTTACATTTTAATCTATTTTATTAAAAAATAGAAATAAAGATCATGTTTAATATTCGACGACACGTTTAGCTCAGTTGGTAGTGACCCTACTTGCTGTGCCAGCGGTCGCGGGTTCGAGTCCAGCTGGGGGCATTAGTTTGTGTGATGACCACGAATGTTAGTACTCCAGTCATGGGTATTAATATTTATAATATGTATGTATTTAAAGTTATATATGTGTAACTGCCTCGGTGGTGTAGTGGCTAGCATGTACGGCTGCACACCCGGAGGTCCTGGGTTCGAATCCCGGGTCGGGCCAAGTTTAGTTATTGAGTCTTTCTGTATAGTAAGGCTCAGTAACAGCCGGGAGTTGGGAAGTTGGCGGTGTTTCACCCCCGTGCCTCGGAGAGCACGTAAAGCCGTCGGTCCTGCGCCTTAACCCTCACCGGTCGTGTCGAGTAGTCGTCCCACCGGAGTATGAGAGTGATAGGAATAGAGAGTGCACTTGTGTCTGCGCGTACACTTGTGCACTATAATATCTCCTGCGCAGTGGGCTAGTCTCAATGAGATTGGCCGCCGTGGCCGGAATCGGTCAGGCGAACATCATATGTGTAGTGTATCAACTATCTGGTATCCATAACACAAGCCTCGTAGCTTACCATGGTACTAGATGGCGCTGTGTGTTAATGCCCCAACATTTATTATTACATTTATAATATTGTACACCTTATTTTTTTTATAATATCACGATATTCTCCTTTTTACAAATTTGTCACAAATGTAATTAATAAAAAATTCCTTAATAAAAATAGAAAAGTATAAAAAGGATGTGTGTGTATATATATTTGTGTGTACAAACAACTCCATGCAAAAGTTCCCTTAAAACTGTCACCGATTGTGTTTGGGTAATTATTCAAGTTGAAATTAATATATAACAATGTAAATTGAACCCTAAATGCAATGCTTAAAGTTATTTTCACAAAAAATAAATTAAATTAAAAACGCGCTCACTGTTCGAATGAGCGCTCATTCGGTGAGGACATTTTTTGTCGCTGATTGTGTATCTAATACTTTTTTGGTCGATGGTCATACTAAAAAATAATCCATGCTAATATTATAAATGCGAAAGTAATACTTTTTATCTGTCTCTTTTTTATTAAAGAAAGATAGGCTTGCGCTTGACTACAATCAGCGCTGGGAAGCACTGATAAGGTCTAGGTTGAAGCGCGCTTGCCTAGAAAAATGCCTGTTCACTCTAGCCTTGAAAGTACTTGGATTGTAGATGGCAGGAAACACGGATGCTGGAAGGGTGTTCCACTCCTTACCAGTTCGATTCAGAAACGTAAAAATGAAGCGTTTCGTGCGAGTTGGTTGAATTTCTACCACATAAGGATGCCAGCGCTCACGACTTCCCGCAATTCTGTGGTAAAACAGTGAAGGGGGCTCAAACTGAGACTGGGTGAGATGTCTATGCCCAAGAGCTCAATATGGTCGCTTATCGGGATGGATACATTTTGGAAAGTGGGAGCCAAGGTAAAGGGGCTCCTTTTTGCGGTGAATAAGCATGCTTGTGTTTTGGTGGCGTTAAACTTAACTAAATTGGCGTCACCCCAATCGGACACCTCCTTCAGAGTTAAGTCAACGCGATTAACCAAGGCCTTTCTTTGCTCAAGTATCTCAGAAGCACTGGCTCTAGAGCTGGACAAGTATCTATCCGTAACAGTGCTGTCATCAGCGTACTGTTACCTTTTCACGCTTAATTTGTCGAACCGATTTAGATAAAATTTGATATGAAGATAATTTGAGACCCTGAGAAGGACATACGTTAGTTTATATCTCGGGACTCATTCCTTTAGGGGATGAAAAAAGGGAATAAAAGTTTGTATGGGGAATCAATCATTTCTGAAGTAAGGGATATAAAACTCATCATACCTTTCTAATATATTGTATATATACTCCATTTATTCCATACTAAATATTTTCGTCAAAACCTTTATTATGAGTTACATAATTGCTCTACAAATAAAAACAATACAGCACACGGGCATAATATGATTTAAATAATAATTTTAGCTTGTCATAACAATATATATTTTTTATATTATAAATCCATACTAATATTATAAACGTGAATGGGTTTATTTGTTTATCCTTTTTTGACGTCGAAACGGAATGACGTAATACCGCGATTTTTTGTGTGGAGATAGTTAGAAGGCCGGAAACTGAGTGGGAGATTATTATCCCATTCCCACGGGAAAACACGTTCTAATACAACTCAAAAATAAATATATATTTTATGATCAAAATTACTTGTAATTTGGTATTAATGCTCTTCAATACAATTAAAAAAAACGTTTTAGCATTTTTCGAAATTCTTCCCATAAGGTGGTAAAATAGGGGATGAAAGTTTGTATGAAACCTACCTTTTTAGAGTTTTTTTGTAGTTTCAGCGCGAGCGAAGCCGCGGGTTCTGCTAGTATTATTATAAATTGGGTCTATAACTTTGCAATAAAAATTATGTATAATATAATTATATAATAAATAACTGACCTTAGCAGCCTGACTGAGGTCATCCCTGTCGAGCAGGTCGAGCGGGTACTTGACGCACATCTCCGGTATCCACGCAATCTCCTGCTTCTTGTAGAACTCCTTGCTGTTGAGCGTCGCGCACGCGTATCCCACTATTTCCGGTTTGACGCCTGTATGAAATAATGTAAAATATAATTAATAGAATATTTAATACAAGAGTTAATTTTTATAAATTTATCTAAACTAATATTATAAGGAGGTTTAAGTTTGAGTTTGTGACGTTCTAGGGGGTAACTCTGGATTTATGGATCTACTGAACCGATTTAGATGAAATTTGGTAAGAAGATAGTTTGTGACCCTGGGAAGGACATGGAATACTTTTTGGAGGAACCGAGGGTGAGTCGCTAGTTTTATATAAAAAGCACTAACCAATTTAAAAAAATAGCTAAATTTATTAAAAAAATAATGAATATTAAAATAGAACATCGTACGGAGGCGAAGCGTTCATATCGACAACGCAGTTTATAATTTTGCAGTATCATCGTATCAATTTTTTTTTCCTGTATACATAAATAATTGAATTGTTCTTTAATAAAAAAAATTCATTAATTTATTTCAATTTCTTTTTCTTTTTTTTTATAACCAAAAGAACGGTTTGCCATTCTACCAATAGAAATAGATATACTTATGATCCCAATGAAAAATAAGAATCTAACATTAGACAAGTATACTGATTACAATGTTATCATAAGTAAATTCGTACATATAACAATTACAATTAAAATAATACTAAATTCATTTTAATACTTTAACTTACAAATCATCTTCCACTTAATAAATAAAAAATATAAGCATAATAGACAAATAAAAATATAATCAAAATATCTTTTTCCACATAAGTTTAAAAATTACCATTTGTCTTAACCGGTCTTTCCCCATCAGGGTCATCCCCTTCCACTTCTGTGTAGTCATCGAGGCACCCATCGTCCTCTATCACCATACATAAATCCGGCTGCAGTGTTAAAAATGGCGCCACTAACCTTTTAAAAAAAAATAGTAACACATTCTAGTAAAGTTGTAACTAAAAAGACAATTCTAAGACAATTTGAATGGATTCCATACTAATATTATAAATGTGAAAGTTTGTGAGTGGATTGTGGATGTATGGATGTTTGTTACTCTTTCACGCCAGAACGGCTGAACGGATCTGGATGAAATTTGGCACAGAGATAAGATTATAGTCTGGAATAGCACATAAGCAACTTTTTATCCCGAAGTAATGTACGGTTCCCGTGGGATAGATTTGTTTTTATCTACGGACGAACTAGAAGGGAAGCAAGAGTCGAGTCGCTATAGGGATATAAAGCACATTGCGATATTTATCAAAGTTGTAGTAACTTAAGACATTACAAAGAATGATTACAGTACAAATTAGAATGCTAAGGTGTAAATAAATTTCCATATAGTTAACTAAAATCTGGCTCGAAGGACCATGTGACAAGTGACTTTTTTTAATAATTTTCGCTATTAAATTATGTATTAAAATGTATAAGATAAAAATAAAAACCACATTATCAGTGCGAACTTTTAAGTTATGATGTAATAATATACTATACCTATCAGCCGGCAAGGTCTGCAAGTCACTGGGAAATAGATCACTGCAATCAGAGCCGTCGCAGCAGGTTTTGTGGCATATCGCACACACCTGTATAAAAATTTATTAAATTAAAAAAATATATACATACACTTAGTAATAATTTAATTTTTACGAATTTAGAAGTGTAAAATTCAAATTTCACTTGGTTGGGTTAAAAAAGTTATAATTCCCATAAGAAGGAAATTTATATAAATTGAAAATAAAAATATCATAATCATAAATATTAATAACTCTCTCTTTCTGACATTTTGATACTGAGAAATATGTAGATCTGATATCATAGATTAGCCGACCGTCGATTTGTGTAAGTAAAAGAAAAAATCACATCAATAGGTGCGGGGATAGTTTCCTGGTAATAGCACAGTGTGAAAAGTGTAGTAAGTGTATTATGGGCTAATGACGGCGTCCAACGATTGATTCATATACTAGTGTGAAAAGTGTAGCGAGTGTAGTGATATTTACTGTAGTGTGTGTAGCGGGTGTATTGATGTCTACTGTAGTGAGTGTAGCGAATGTAGTAGTGTCTACTGAAGTGGATGTAGTGGCGTCTACTGAAGTGTGGGTGTAGTGGGTGTAGTGTGTGCAGTGTGCGTAGTGTGCGTAGTGGGTGTAGTGACGTCCACTGTAGTGTGTGTGTGCATGCACTGACGGTGTCCTCGTCGGCGGGCGCGTAGGGGCGCACGCTGCGCGGCAGGCCGGGCGCGGGCGCGGGCGCGGGTGCGGGCCGCAGGTCGGCGCACTCCACGGGCAACAGGCGGCGCAGGTCGGCCGCCAGCCCGCCGCGGAACACCCACGGCTCCTGCGCGCCGCTCTCGAACGCCTCCCGCCAACCTTTAGAGAACCCTGCCGGATGACAAATTTGATTTATATTTTGATTCTATTCTATAAATAAAGCAAGGGAGATAGCGTAAAGTTGTAAATGTTTAATTTTAGTTATATGTATTATCTACATGTAAAATACAATCTGTACAATAATAATTTAAGCAGAGTTTGTGATCTGACATGAGCAAATAAAGTATATGATTATGAGAAACAAAAGTTTTGTGCTATTAACGGGTATACAGAATTATGTGCAAAATTAGTTTTTTCTTTATTTGTATTGCATTCAATTGCTAATAAACTAAAGATCATGTCTACAAAGCAAAAATTTGGTTTTTGTTTTAATTGTATATTAATTACAGACTCATTAGTCATTACATATTGTTAATAATTACTGGTTATTATAGGTAACAAAATTTTTCCCGCAATTCTACTCGCGTCATAGCATATATGTATATAATAAGTATTGTTCATTCAAAATATAGACTATCTCCATTCTGAATTATAAAAACAAATAAGCTACATCTACAAGAGCGAAGTCACGATTAATGAATAGTATTAAATATACTTACAAGTATAGCTGCCTTGGGTATTATTCGCTATGTTCGGAGGGAATTTGCCAAGTTCTGCAAAAAGAAATACAATGTCTTAATATGTAACATCCAAATGGCGGAGGCGATGTCGCCGTACATGTACATATGTATGGCCTGATCCCCCTCGTATTGAAGGGAGGCCTTAGGGAGGTAAGTATTCTGTTCCTTTGTATTATTAATCTGATCGTATTCGTACATGTCTACATACTCGTATGTACGTATTTTTGATATAATAATAATAAATGTTGGGACATTAACACACAGCGCCATCTAGTTCCATGGTAAGCTACGAGGCTTGTGTTATGTTATGTTATGTAAATACATACATATTATAAATATAAACACCCATGACTGGAGTACAAACATTCGTGCTCATCACACAAACGAATGCCCCCCGCGGGACTCGAACCCGACACCGCTGTCACAGCAAGTAAGGTCACTACCAACTAAGCCAAACGTGTCGTCCAATGTATAATATGTAAAACTATATACGGTATTTTTTTAATGAATTATAATTATAAATCCCTCCACGACCGCGGACACGCCGGCGTTACAGTTAACAATAGATTTCTTAGTAATTGAATTAATTTCTTAGAAATTTACCTGGAGGTGGTAATGTATTATTTTTGTTTTTCTACAAACTGCGAGTATATTGTTCACATCCCTCCCCTCTTACAATTTGTCAATTCCAACACCTTACACACCGACTTCGAAAATATCCAATTAAGTATCTATACTAAATGAAAACCCCCGTTTAGTTTTTTACTTTTCAGTGCCTGGATATCGGGTTTTTTTTTATAATCTTGTACATCATTTTACTTTCTGTATATGTACAATAATCATAAAATGCTGACCGAGCCATCTGAGGAAGGCCTGCAGCAGAGCGAGCACGGCGCACAGGTCCCATAGGTAGGGCCGCAGCTCCGCGTACAGCTCGCGGTTGGCGGCGGCCGCCACGCGCCGCGCCAGCCGCCGCACGCGCGACGCCCACCACGTGAAGCGGCGCAGCCGCCGGCGCCATTCGCTCGTCTGGTGTACGATTGGATCATTGTTTATATATCATAATAAACACAGTATACGGACTATATATACAACAGTTTGTATATGTATGTGTGTTTATGTGTGTGAGTACATATTTCAGCTCAGCAGTGAAACAGTTTCACAGACGGATTTGAATGAAAATTATAACACAAATAAACAAAGTACCTGGAGCAACACAAAGACTATGTAAAGGGATTGTACATTACACATATATATATATATATATATATATATATATATATATATATATATTTGTTTGAATATTTTATCTTTTTAGGTGTAGTTTTTATTTTAAACCTTTACATTTTGTTAAAAATATTTATGTATAAATCATTTTTTATGCATGTTTTTTTTGCATGTTTATTTATTATTAATTGGTTTTTTTTTACTTTTATCGATCATTTCCGCCCCCCAATAACGAAAAAAATTATGTTATGCGATTGGAACTCCTTTTTAAATATTCTGAAAGTAGACTGTGGGCCTCAATCAATTTTCTGCAGATTAGTTATATTTCACATTATCTCGACGGTAGTGACGGTAATGATGGTGGTAGTGATAGTTGTGGTGGTGGTGGTAGTGGTGGTGGTGGTACTAGTGGTGATGGTAGTGGTAGTGATGGTGGTAGATGGTGGTGATAGCGGCAGCGTCGGTCACCTCGGGCTTGTTCCCCCTGGGCAGTATGCTGGCGGCGTGCGCGTTGAGCCAGTGGAAGTCGTGCATCATGCGCAGGCCGCGCGAGCCGTGCTCGAAGGGCAGGTAGAACAGGTCGCACAGCAGCAGCAGGTCGTCCGCTGTCAGCGTGTTGATCTCTATCTGCTCGTCTACTACTCTGTGGGAAGGAGGTGGATGTTGAAATAATTATTATAATTTATATTACCATGGCAATATTTACACATTCATATGTGTACATGTGTAAATACGTACGTATACTCGTATACACACGCAAACATCACATGTACATTTGAGGTATCCGATTCTGCATGTAAATATTACTTTCGATGATGGAAAATGACAAAGTAAATGGAATTCACAAACATTATGTCAGATGATGTAAATTTCATATATTTTTTCATTTAGTATATACCACTATCCATTACAAAAATTGAACTTATTTATCTAAGAGCTCACTATAGTAAGTTTCAATATAAATCTTTGTGATATTGACTGAAATGCTAAATAAAAAGATATCTTTGTGATTTTTATAATTAATTTTTTTGTGTAGTTTGTTGGTTTTAATCTTGTAACCGTTACATTGTCTAAGATTTAGTAACAAGTACGGACTCACGTATTGATGATATCTCTTTCTTAATTTTATAGTAAGGGATACTGCATGTTACATATGAATGATATTTTGCATATATTTACCTGAACAAAGCACTAATTTCTAATATAACTTTTATGTAATCAAAAATCGATCATTATTGTATGTATGGTATTTCATTCATTGATTCAATACAAATTGTTAAAATATAAAATTTTCTTATGATAATAATGAATATTATAATAATTTGTTACTTACTCATCAGTGACTTCGACTGGGTCACTTGGTTCAACCATCATGTCTCCGCTCAGGGGACTGTTGCTTGGCTCCACTTGCATGGAACCATTCTGTTGAAATTATTAATAAAAATAATTATTTTAAACACATATATTTGTGTTTATTTTTTAAAACTACGTTATTAGTATTTCTCATCATTGTATCAGGAATGGCGTTCTTTTTTTGATATTAACGAGCGACTTACCCTCGCTTTGCTCGGGTGCATCCGAGTAGGTACGGGGATTTTATGAACAATTTCATGATTTTTAATTTTTAACGCGGCACCTTAATTTCTTTTTTTTAAATAAAGGTAGTATAAGTTATTTCTTTTAACATCAGTTATTTGCCAGTGAAGGTTTAAGAGTTTTAACTATAGTTAAAATGGCACCATCCATACTAATATTATAAATGTGAAAGTTTGTGAGGATTTATTGATGTTTGTTACTCTTTTACGTCAGAACGGCTGAACGGATTTGGATGAAATTTGACACAGAGATAGATTATCTAGAATAGCCATAGGTTACTTTTTATCCCGGAAAAATGTACGTTTCCCGGGGGATAATTCGTTTTGTGTAGAGACGAATAAGAAACGAAGCGAGGGTGAGCCGCTAGTAATGATCTAATAGAGACATACCTCACTGAGCTGATCGTTCATGATGACGTCGGAGTCGGTAGCGCTGGCCGAGGGCGGGTCCACGTCCAGCGGCTCGGGCTGCGGCCGGCTCGGGCTTAGCGTCTGCGGCGTGTCTGTGGACAATGGAAACAAACGTGGTATGTATGGACTGCAAGTGTAGCGACTCACCCTCCCGACGTTCGAGTTCGTCCATAGTTACGTTTTAACGTTTAGTATAGATTTCTCAGAGATGAGATATTTTCCCGCAGTTAAAAATATTCTTTATGTTGACCCAAATAACTAGCTATCATCATACCAAATTTCATCAAAATCTGTACAATGGTTTTCTCGTAATGCGTTCCCAGACACACAGACAAAAATTCTAAAAACTATAGATTCAGCCTCTGTATCAATAATAATGACTATTTCAATACGATTTTCAAAAAAGAAATTATTGTACAGATAACGTACATAATATTCGACTCCGAATTTTAATATATGTATAGATATGGAGATGATATGGATAAATAAAATAGGTTCTTCTCCATTCTACGTAACAATGACGAAGTAATATGTGCTCAAATGACACGCTTTATAATATAGATAAGATATTATATATTTATAATATAGATAAGCGTAGTTAAATCGCAGTGCTACGATTTACTATATTTACGAGAGATTTGTTTATATTTGTCACTGCTTCACGCTGAAAGGCTGAATGGATTTTGATAAAATTTTGTATAAAATTAGACTATGGGCACATACTGGTTTGGCACTCAAAGAAGGATCCTAGTGAAACGAGGGTAAGTTGCTTATGGTAATAAAGTACTCAGCTTCAACTATTACTTCAACGTTTAATAATACCATTCTCCTTCATATTGTTGTGGTGTTTTCGTACAAATTCAATTAGAGGATCAGGAGGAGAATCTTATTATTTTAATACTGGTATATCCATTATCACTCTGAAAATAACCTTGTCGACCGAGTGGTGGTATACATTTTGTAAATTGCTGTTACGGTGTTAATATTGATATTTGCAATTTTTTTATTCTTTTTTGGATTCGTTTTTTTTTTCAAAAGCAAAATTATTATTTAATAAATAAAAAATGCTGTTGAAATGTATTACGGGACTAAAATATTTTTTTTTAGATTTTAATAATGCATTGTTCAAAAATGTCCAAACTGGTTTTCATTTAGACTTCTCTGTTCTATAAGTTAAATATACTTTAAATATTAATATTAAAAATTAATAAATATGTTTATAACATACCTCCAATACTCATATCGCCATTCTGCTGCTGTTCCACAACGGGCTCGACATCATCAACAATGATCGTATCATCGTCATCTTTCTTCATCTCATCGATAAAGCTAGCCGTTTCCAACACACTATCATTCGATGCTGATTCGTTTATATCAATTTTATCCGACATAGTGTGGTCCGTCTCTATTTTATCGATATTATCCTGATCGATAGTTTTCAACCCCATAATAGGGACGGGTAATGTCGATACAGGTATTTCCGATGGTAGTGATATGTTGGAACTCGCAATCGGTATGATCGGATTGGGTATCGATTCGTTTAGTATAACTTTTGTCGGGGACACGAGAGAGTTCATCACTGGGTTTGATACCGGGTTGAAAGATTCCATTGGTGACATCTACAAAAATAATATAAGGTTTAATCCATACTAATATTATAAATGTGAAAGTGTGTTTGTTTGTTTGTCTTTCTTTCATGTCGAAACGACTTGGCGGATTTTCATGATTTTTTATGTGGAGATAGTCGGAGGGCTGGAGAGTGACATAGGCTACTTTTTACTGCGAAAGATTATCTCTTACCCACGGGAAAACACGATATAATACAATAAGAATAAATATTTACGATCAGAATTACTTGAAAGTTGGCATTAATACTCTTCAATACAATAAATTGAATACGTGTTTTAGTTTTTTTTGAAATTCACATCATAAGGGGAGTAAAATAGGGGATGAAAGTTTGTATGAAACCTACCTTTTTAGAGTTTTTTTGTAGTTTAAGCGCGAGCGAAGCCGCGAGTTCTGCTAGTATTATATATTTTTTTTTAATTTACCCATTCCATAATTATATAATAATGCACACTACAGGACTTAAGCGCGTGAATTCGTAGGTGGCTAAATATCTAATTCCCGACATTTGGGTTGCTTCAGCCGTGGTCACGAGCAAATTGAGGTAAAAAAGACTGAAGGTATTTAGCCACTTACGAATTCATACCTTTAGGTCCCGTAGTGTGCATTATTATAGGATTAATATACTTCTCCATGTCTCTTATTAAATAGTACGTGTAATTGACACAATATTATTTCTATTAGCGATCATCTCAGCACACATCTCTTACATCTTATATCACACACTCCATCCATACCTTCTTCAATCTAAAATAGATTCTGTATCCACCCAAATTCGAACCTAATACTCCTTTGCTTATACTTATAATTAAACAGTATATTAATAATAATGTTACTGGTATAATTATCGGTTAGTGTAGGGTAATTTTATTAATTTATTGTATTTATATAGTTGTGTGATGATGATATTTACTCCAGCAGATAGAACCATAGTTAGAAAGATTATCGGGATTCCCTATAAGTGTTTAGCAATCGGGAGTCAACAACCATAGATAGAAACTATTACTTCCCCGTATACCTATGGTTTGTTTAGTGTTGTGGGTTCGTGTGGTGTGGTGATACTGACCCCAGCAGCGAGCGGCGCGCGGTCGGGCGAGCACACGTCGGCCAGCGCGTGCAGCTGGCTGGTGTGCACGGTGGGGATGGTGGCCAGCTCGGCGGTGGTGGTGGTGGTGGTGCCCGTCAGCGTCATGCACGTGTTCACCGACGGCAGGATCGGGATTATCGGTACCGGTGGCACTGGAACCGGGACACAAACACGGTACAAAAATCAATACAGTAGTGATTAGACGATGACGACTTTCATATTAACGGATATGCTGTCAAATGCTAGTTGTGAAAAATACAATTTTTCATGTCGAATAATTTCGTAGTTAACGTACTACATTATACACACTAACAGCTTGCGGATGAATCCCTTATTTTCTATCATATGAATCTATTCATTATTATTTTTTCGCAGTTTTTTTCTATATTAAGTTCGAACGCTTTGCAGCAATTGTGATCATAAGAAAAACTTCCCGTCGTCGTCGTCGTCTTTTACAAAATCAAAATAAATCCGTAAAAACATCCAAAAAGATTATTAAATTTTATTTAAAATGTCAAATAATCGCGTAAATCTAAGAACGTATTATGTTAAACAATCAAAAATTGCGCATATTGGGTGGTCCAATACATTTCAGTACATAGATGCGTCAATATAGAGTCCAATAGGCATGTTTAAGAGTTTTAGAATCAAATAATAACTAACCTGTAGGTGCTTGTGGTTTTATAACGGGTCCTTGCGCCATCTTAGGTATAGAAAATTCTGGCAGCCATTCGTTAATCGCTTGTCTGAAAGACAATAAACAAATATAAAAAAAATGCTTATAAAGAAAGAATTTGTATAAAAATAAGACCATGTTGAGATTTCTGTACCTTTGGCATGTAATATTAACATTGTTTTATAGGCAAATTAACTTTATTCAACTAAACTTTGAAAAGCATTTTTGAGTTGTCATATACTCGTAATACCTAAGGGCTTGTCGATGATGATACACATGCTTCCCGAGGGTGGGAGGCACTTCATCTTCACACACGCCTTGTTCGCCCTCACGCTCCAGCTTGATGTCCCAAGACACCGCTTCCACTGTTGAAAACATTTTTATTACTATTATAACATGTTTGTTTTCTACTATATTTAGAATTTCATCGATCTTATTGTTTATTGACTAGCGACTCACCCTACGCTTCGCTCGGGTTTGTCCCGGTTAAATACGTTTTAACGGTTAGTATAGATTTCTGAGATATTTTCCTGCAGTAAAATGTATCCTATGTGTTGACCCGGATAGCCAGCTATCACCATACCAAATTTCATCAAAATGCCTACATTGGTTTTTCCGTGATGCCGTCACAGACAGACAGACAAAAATTCTAAAAACTGTAAAAACAGCCTCTATATCTATAATAATGTATATTTCAATTTTCAAAAGATTTCCCAAGAAATATTTAATGTACAGATTCGGCTTAGTTACAATTTTATTTCCTCAACGAACGCGGAAACGCCGGCATTACAGTTAACAATAGATTTCTTAAAAATTTACCTGGAGGTGATAATTATATGTATAGATTTCCTGTTATAATAAGTTTAAATAAAAAAAATATAATATATAAAATCAAATTCTCAAAAAAGTAAGCATCACGGCAGTCCATCTATTCGAATAATGTGTTTTTAGTTTATCTTTCTTGAATTTTTTATGGTAACCGAATATTGAGAAATTTCTTAACACATTTTTAATAAATTTTATATAAGTACATATAAGTTAGGGATGCATCCGATACCGATACTGATATATCGAGGACATCATCTACTTTTCGATATATCGATATTAGCGATATTAGTTTGTCGATACAACGATACATTTTTAAATAATTTAAGTATGTTGTGTTATATGAATAAAAATGTTGCAAATGTGAATTTTAAATATTAATGAACAAATTCAATTCATATTTTGTTTTATTACTGTTTTCAAAAAGTAATTAATATGCTGTTAAATTACAATTTCCAAAACATACATATTTTATAAATATAAATACAATTTCCAAATTTCGCTAGTTAACATTCTAAATAAATATTACTTATGTAAGAAATGCAGTTTGCTCCTGTGTTTTCTATCCACTCTGAACCCACCGTTTTTTGCTTTTTATACCTTTTGAAATCTGTAGTGTCTGCATTTGTATCGGTATCGTATCGACAGAAGCGCGTATCGATGCATCCCTAATATATATTATACTCACTATGCGCAGGCGCATCGAGGCTGCACCGGGCCCAGTGCGCCAGCGTCCATATCGGGATCATGTTGGCGTTGTACTCGCAGTTGGGGTTGGACAGCACGCCGCGCAGCAGCGGGATGAGCTCGGGCGACCGCCCGCAGTACGGGCCTTGTTTATACAATATACATAGTAATATACTACTACTATAAATGCCACAGTTAGTGTGTGTGTGTATGTGTGTGCGTGTATGTACGTGCATATGTGTGTTTGTTACCCCTTCACACTAAAACAGCAAAGAAAATAACAGTTGGACGGATCTGAATGAAATTTGATCAGGCCATAGTCCACCACGCAGGAAAAGTGCGGGCGGACTTCACATCTTGTTCTCTTTCTAAAACTTATTAGGTTATCTCAGACATGCAGGTTTCCTCACGATGTTTTCCTTCACCGTACGGAAACTGGTAATCATGTTAGAAATGATTCGCACATGAAAATATCAGAGGTGCGAAACCCGGGATTTTGAACTCGCTTCACTCGGTTTCCCAAGCGAGCGCGTTACCACTGGGCTACCATTGCCTTGTATACATACAGAGCACTCCAATGTTTAGAAATTTAGTTTTATCAAAAATAATATTCGTCCGACATTACATGGTGCATACGGCTCCTATCGCGTTTTATTTATATGTAATCAGTACGAAATCAAAATTTTAAGCAAAATGTTAGCCTAAAACCTATCGCCTATAAATAGTCTATAAAATACAAAAAAAAAACTAAAACTGCAGTACATTTAACCACCAGAACTATTATAAAATGTTATACGACTCTACTTTCTTACCCAAAAATATCCTTTTCTGGTCATAGTCGTTGGCATGCAAGTTGTCCCAAATAACAGGCGGTCGACGCAGCACTTGCGTTATTTCTTCTATACACTCAGTTGTTAATGTTTTCGATATTACTTTTGGACCTGGAATTTTTTTTTTGTAGAATATTGGTTAACTTATTAAATTTTTATAATTAATTTTATTTTCTATAAGTTCATTGTTCATCAGGTTGAGTCGAAGTTTTGCCCACTTATTGTTTGTTGGTTCTTGCGGGAAAGTGTCTTAAATAGAACAATCAAACTACAATTTTTGATATTGATAAATGACTTGAAAAAGATTTTCCTCTCTTAGGAGTTTTTTTTTGATAATTTAGGTTTTGAGGTATCCCCCCCAACGTGCGTTCAGCTTGTCGTGATGGGGGGGTGGACCATGGGAGCAACCCCATGACTTTTGTGGTCTGCTTCGGCAGACCTGCCGTCAGGGCGTCGTGCATGAGTGCGTAATAGCGTGCATGAGTGCGTAATAGCGTGCATGAGTGCGTAATAGCGTGCATGAGTGCGTAATAGCGTGCATGAGAGCGTAGTCCTGCGTGGCCCAATTAAGACGGGGGAGGTTTTTTGGGTTTCAATGGGTACTGGATAGTACTGGTTTTTCTAGTCAGTGAGTCTCACATAACCCCCTTTATGTATACAGGTGGTATGCGTAAATGCATTTCCCAATGTTAAAACAAAAAGTATTAAAGTGTAACCTATTCATTAAAAATGTTATGTAGACATTTCCTAACTCGGAAAGTAAAATATTTACATTAAAAAATAAATCATAACTAAAACATTATTCATGGCTTTATTTTGAAGATACTATAAAAAATATTATAAAGTTCATGTAATAGAGTGACAAATGATTGTTGCCTCGACAAGTGATATAGATAAAAGACTTTATGAAAATGCAAAGTTATAATTTATCAAAAATCGATATTTATTCGAGCGTCTGTGAAGCCATTAAGAGAATTTTTGAAAGAAGAATGAAATGAATTAATCGACCGCGATAACGTCACATGGGGCAGAACGAGCAAATTTCATTTGAATATGTCTTTATTAGATGCCTATCTTAAAAAATACCAATGTACAGCTTCATTTTGGACTTTCTTACATAAAAAAAACATGAAACTTATCCATTATAAAAATCAATTCCCAAAATAATAATTCACAAAAAATAGACGAATTGAGTTCTCCTTTTCGAAGGCGCACAAAAAAGGTCTCATATATTTAAATTTGATTAGCATTCAGCATCAATGTCAATGACCATGGGTTATAAACAAAATGCACTAACGGCACACATGTGACTCATGGAGTATCAATGGAAAAAAATGTCACGTGCATCTGATAATTGGAGCCTTGGATTTGGTTATTATCATATGAAAATAAGTCAAAGACTACCAAAACAGAGGTGACTTTGTCACAATTTAAAAGTTATCATGGTTTATGAAGTTATACTTTTTTTGGGACGTTTGGAAAAAACATGAGAAACAAAAAAAATTTTACGATGCGCGTGCACACCGACAGCCAAAAAGCGACATGATGAAGTTGGCTGATAATAATGATTGTTGCCATGGTAACCGTTGTTATTGTTTGACAAGTGATATATAATATTATATTCTTTTCTTAAATGACATTCTATAAATATAAGATTGTTATAATTCGTTGGCTCACAATTACAAGGTTCTATGTTAAAATTTTAGTACTTATTTAGTTATTAATGCTACAAGGTTTTATGTGTCATTAGCTACAGTTTTGCAAAAACAAACCACTAGATAGCGGCAAAATAACTATAAAGTATTCAATTTTACATAGTTCTATGTTGTTTTTTTTACGATAGCAAAATAACGAAGTTCTATGTAAAAATTACTAAACTTCATTAAAATTAACATAGAACCTTGTAATAGTGAGCCTACGAATTATGCCTACTATGCCATATGTATTATTTTATTCATTTATCATTCCTTCTACAAACAGAGAGTTGTGACATACGGGATGAAACCTTTAGCTATTGTTTTTCTGTTACGCCAAAGAAGTATAACTTCTTATGTGCGTACATAAGTACACACACACGTTTTTTTTTATTACTTTACATGTGGCTGTATTAAAACGAAGGCTCCGTTTATTCAGCAAAGAAAACCGCGCGATGATTAAAAAATCGTATGTAAATACTATTAACCAAATTTCAGTTTGAGCCTTAAAATGAATTTATAGTTTTCAAGTTAAGCATATAAATCAACAGTTTGTTAAAGATTTTTGCATGATTTAAAAAAACCTATGAATTCATTACCATATAGCAAAATTATATAATAATTTTATTGTTTACACAAGAGAAGTTAAAGCAGATAACTAATTTACTACTTTATTTTATGAAGAAAAAAAAACTACTTTATGATTCAAACAGAATATCTACCATATATCTTTTTTGTTCTCTTAATTCAGCATTATTACAAGGGTGAATGATGACCATAGCACTTGCAATAGTGTTATGATATCAGAAACTTATGTTTACTAATGACTCACCCTTGCTTCGCTAGGCCTAGTCCCCAGTAGGCTTCCCCAAAACACAAACTTTCACCTCTATTTTCACCCCTTTAAGGGATGATTTCCAGGATAAGAATTATCCTATGTCCTTTCCAGGATATCCATCTAAACTATCTTCTTAGCAAATTTCATTTAAATCAGTTCAGTAGTTCCGGAGCCTATTTGATAAAAACAAACAAAATAGCAAATTTTTCCTCTTTATAATATTAGAATAGATTTACTCTTACCCGTCCACATAATATCTATCTCCTGAGATAGTTTAGTACCCAATGTATTCAAATATTCTGAACTATTAACAGTTGGTACAGCTCTGGTAGAACAATACTGTGTAGGACAAAGCAAGAATCTCGGACAACCAAGATGCTGATGAATTTCATTGGTTATAGACACCTGCAAATAAAATGAAAATCATCAACTAGAATATTTTTTAAATATTTTATTTAAATAATGTAGTTTAACTATTTCTTTACTGAAAGATTCCATTTTTACTAAGTTATTTATGCTCGTATGTACATAGATGCCAGTTTAATTATCAAAATATTAAATGTATTTTAAATAAAACTATCTTTTCGGATTTTGTCGCGGATTTATTTGCATTTTTGTTTCCCGACGTTTCGAATGCTTTACAGCATCCATGGTCACGGGAGAGACTGAGGTGTTACATGTCTTGGAGGTATAGTTGTTACAGACAGCCTACCCACAATTAACAAAATGAAAATTGCACCAATTGCAATTTGCTACTACTGGATGCTGTAAAGAACATAAAAAAATTCTTACAGGATATTTTAAAAAAATAAGCCAAGTATAAAGCATTCGAAACGTCGGGAAACAAAAATGCAAATAAATCCGCGACAAAATCCGAAAAGATAGTTTTATTTAAAATGTCAAATATTCGCGTAAATCTAAGAAAGTATTATATTAAATGTAGTTATATAAAAAATATATAAATTACTCATAAAGTCATACCTGAGCATGTGCAAAGCTTTGAAATATCTGTTTATCAGCTTCACTCATCTCAGGCTCTATGTCATCAAATAACAAAGCAAAGCATGTGCAGCCGAATTGAGACACCTGAAAATACATTATATATATAATTTACATACCCACATCCAATACTTTTAATTATATATATATATATATATATATATATATATATATATATATATATATATATATATATATATATATATATATATATATATATATTAATTTATGAATTCATTTGAAAAAAAAATATTTTGACACATTTATTTACCTCATCATTGACATTAAAATAACCCAAAAAAGTAGAAAAGCTAGAGTACAAGTAGATATGATATGTTAATTCTTTTTTATTAAAAATAATATTACTTAATGTATTATAAATTATATTTATTCAAATATCATATATATAATATCATATAAATTATATTTCACATCATGAAATATCATAATTTGAATTTTATTCACTTACAATATTTAAAAATCCATTGCTCATTTAATATATTGAATAATAAAATTTTCCTTTGTAAAGGCAATTATGTTATCTAATGGTATAATACATATGTAACAGAAGCTAGATGGAGAGGGAGTGATTGATAAAAGAAACAATTAATAAAATAATAAAGGGCTAAATTAATTATTGCATACTAAATATTAAATATGACATAAAGCTGAATTAATACAATTTGAACTTGTGTAATACCAAATATTTATATATATTCCCTGAAACTTGCCCATCTTTCATTGTAATTTTTGGCACTACTATAAAGTAAATTGTTAGCCAAAGTGATTTAAAATTTAATAATAAGTATAGTAGACAACAAAATAAGGCAATATTAAATAAATTATTAAGCATATATTAGTTTTAAACATTACTTGTTCCAATTTCCTCTTTAGAGTGGTAATTTCCTTCTGGCTACTATAAGTGATATCAAGTCCTGGTGACAAAGCATAGCAAAACGTAATTCCATGCGATTTAGCTTCCGAAATCAAGGATGTTAAATGTTCAGCCTCCTCTACAGTGTATAATTCTCTCCAATATGCTCTATGTTTGTAGTCATCTTTTGGAGCGTAAACATACATATCTAAACCCCATTTCTTAAGTCTAAAAATGTACAAAATAAAGAATATGTTAGGATGTTATTTTTTTTTAATTGTTACTAGCAACTCACCCTCACCCCGCTTAGGTTCATCCCTAGTTATGTTTTAATGTTTAATAGATTTCTCAGGGATGAGACATTTCCCCGCAGTAAAAATTATCCTATATGTTGATCTACATAACCAGCTATCATCATACCAAATTTAATCAAAATTTGTCTAGTGGTTTTCTCATAATGTGTTCCCAGACAGATAGACAAAAATTCTTAATACTATAGATTTGGCTTTTGTATATATGTATAGATAATTATAACCTCTTTAATTATTATTTTTATTTATTTTTTATTCATGCTTCAATATTCTGATAAGATTTTTTTTAAACTATGCACTTGTAATTTAAACACGTTAAGATGAATAAAATGATATATAAAACTATTACTTACTTTTGAAATAGATCTTTCCTTTGCTCAGTGGTCCACGGGCGACCGTAAAAGCCTGCAATAGATCTTAGGTCATTCACTTATCGAGTATCGACTAATATATGTATAATACCTATGGAGTACCTATTAGAAGTTAGTTTCTCCCAAGATAAACATACCTTCCACAACGCCGCAAATGAAGTCCTTTCGTTTACAATTAAGATCATCTGGAGAGCTTTCGGTCATTGTCGTTAAATTTAAGTCTTACACAAAAGTTAATACAAAAGGTAATAGCTTCAGTGGTTATATTTTAGTTACAAGTGGGTATTTAAGAAGTTTACTCTTAAATAAATAGCGATTAAGTAAATGTACTTTAATTTCTAAGAGATATAAAGCACCGGTTGACCCGTTTGAAGTGAAAATTGATGAAATACGACGCGCAATGGAAATAATACGGAGACATCAAATATTATGTGTCAAACTCGTAACCATAGATGATAGAATAAAGATAAATAATAACTATGACATAGGAGAATTATGTTCTATAGTTTATGGTTGACAGATAAAAAATGAAGACATAGATAAAATATAATACACATATCGACCATCCACAGGGCTGTCCACGGGGTTTGTCTTAAAATGTCTGTCTAAAAATATGTTAACTTCGTGTCTTCTCAATATTACTTAGAGTAAGTAATCGGTGCTCAACTGGCACGCTTTGAAGAAACAAGATTTGAATCGATTTGAAAATTTGTTAAAAATATTTTTTGTATATATTTTTCTAACATTGCGTATGTTTATTTTACACTATAGGCTATAGCTAATGCATTGTGTTTTAATATCATGTTTTTTTATTTGTAAATGTTATTTATTTTTATTTAAGTTTTATGCTAATTAAAATGGAATAAAAAATAAATAAGGTCATCAATCGTAGCAAATACTTTTATTTACACATTATACCAGTTTTTTTCTTAAAATATACATTTTAATACCTATTTATAAAGATTTTATAAGTAATAATACTGATTATTTTTGTTTACAATTTATGTATATAAAACAGGTACCTTAATCTAATACAATGACACTGTCTATTACTCATATTTGAGATCTACAAATTGGTGCGCTAAAATTCAAACTTGTAAGTGACTAGAACAATTGAATCAATAAATATACTTATAATTAAATATTTACAATTATTTTTGCAATATTTACATACTTTTACCTAAACATACATATTAAAAGTTTATTTAAGTGTTCTAAAGTATGTATATATAAAAATATTGGTAATATACATACTACTTAAATTTTGTCCCTGATAACTACTACTACCTACCATGTTATCACTCTAATGTACAAATATTTATAATATGTATAACTAAATACATAATACAGGATTTGAGATGTAATAAAGAAATATCTACATAAACACTTTCTACAAGAATTGTAATTTTGCAAAGAAATCTCTATAAAAAAATTATTAGAACATGTTTTTATTTCATGCGAAACACCGTCGCGACAAAGTTCTTGAAAGCTATATTTCTATGGAAATGAAGGAAGTGAGTTAGATATTTATTATTAAGCTTCGTTATAACTTAACCGAAATAAATGTCTATATTATGATCAATTTAAACATTTACTTAGTTAGGCAGGTGGAATTAATCCACGATTACTTCAACAAACACTGTCAGCCTATTGCACTATTTAACCAACTATTTTACCAAAGAAATATAACTACCAATATGCATTAAAGCATGCGTACTCTTTATTTTTATATCACTTTCAAAAGTCTTTGCCTAAAAGTGCGGCAGAGCACAACACTACATGTGTCAGCCGATCATGCCGCCGGACATGTTGCCGTGAACTCGCATATGCCTGTTCAAATTTCCAGATTGAGAAAATCTGTAAACAAAAAATATGTTAAATAAATTATTGTGTAGGAATTTAATGTCATAGGTAAATAGTTAATAAAAATTAATTTTAAGTGTTTTATGAAAAAAAAACACAAACTTAAAAAAGTTAACACGAAGTCACTACACATACCTACTTAGTACTCTAAGTAATTATTTACTAGCAATAAAATTAACAAAAAGAATAATGTAGTTATCTATACTCTATATTATCTACATACATACCTAAGTAAACATAATTTACACTGATAAGGTTTTTCCCCAGAATGTATTCGCAGATGTTTTGTCAACGTTGAACTGTCTGAAAACGCCTTTTTACACGAACGACATCTAAAAAAGAAAAGAAATAAAAATTATTCTTATTTATACTTTACAATGTCTGCAATATTATTTAAAAAAAAACTAATAATTTATGAATAAAAATCAGTTTTCCAATAAGCTCACCTCTATAAGTTAACATACTTATACATAGATAAGAATAGGTAATATTTTTTTTTAAATAAATTTATTTGAGAAATATAAAAAAATGATGTAGGCAACTTACTGGTACGGTCGTTCCCCAGAGTGTGTCCTCATGTGTGTCGTAACGCTGGAACTCTGACTAAACCGCCGGTCACATATCGGGCACCTGCAATATTAAAAAAAATTTAACCGTCTTTAATGCAGACTTTACCCAATTTAAGGAACCACATTTTTGTGGTTGCGTAAATTGATTAATTTTACTTAAAAAAATAATTTAGAACACTTAGAAATTTATATTGTGAGGTCTTTGTATATTATATTGTATAATGACTAGCGAGGAGAAGTTATAAATATATACATACACATCACAATGACATAGCTTGCATAAGCTTTCGCAATTAATTATAATAGTAATATATAAATATATTGGTACATTAACACACAGCACCATCTAGTTCCATGGAAAGCTATGAGGCTTGTGTTTTGGGGACCAGATAGTTGATACACTACACATATATAACTTTAAATATTATAAATATAAACCCACGACTGGAGTACAAACATTCTTGCTTAACACACAAATGAATGCCCCTGGCGGGACTCGAACCCGCGACCGCTGGCACCGCAAGTTTGTAGTGACTCTATCACTACAAACTGAGCCAAACGTGTCGTCAAATAGTATGAGAACAAATGATTTTAAGAAAAATATGAAAGCTTACCTAAAAGGTTTTTGTCCGGTATGAGTTCTAACATGCGCCGTGAGGTTCGCCGCTTGAGAGAAGCTCTTGTTGCAGTCGCCGCATCGATACGGTCTCTCTCCGGAGTGCGTCCGTAAGTGTGTCTTCAAAGTACTCGGCCTCGCGTACGTTTTGCCACATATACGACAAAGATTTGGCTTCTGTTCATCATCTTCTGAACAACCACTTAAAGCCCCCACCTATACGATATGTTAGGATTACATACGCAAGTAAACTATTTATATTATTAAAATAATATAAATAGTTTACTATGTCTATCATGAAAGCTTAAAAATATTAGATATCCAGATATCCCGCGAGAAAACAGGATGAGTTTTATTATGTACATATGTATTAATATTATTTTTCACGAGATACGTAATTAATCAGACCACCTTTCGGGATATGTAAATAATATTCAAAATTCTACTGCATTCAATCTATGGTTTTACCATCGAGATGTCAAGTAAACAAATACGAATGAGATTAAATAGAGTCTTCTCCATCCTACGTGACAATAAGAGAATTGAATTGAATTAAGTATGATAGTCTTATAATTTTACGTCAAGTCTCACAATATACATATATTTATTTAAAATCCAAAATACTTTTTAACCTCTTCTTATTTAGATATGTAGATACAAATCAGATGAAAATCTTCAAAAACTGACTCTACATTTTTGAATTCTATTTAAAATTTCAACCTACCTGTACTTTCCCTGATGCATTAACACAAGTAGTATATCCGAAGTCCTGCATTTGTCCTTGATGGTTCAAAATGTATCCGTTTTGCATCTGATCCTTTTGATTTTCTTGCATATAAATTTTTGGGGGCGATCTTTTTAGCACAGGACCTAAGTTTTTTTGACTGGTAAAGTTAGGTTTTTGTTGGAACAAGTAATTAGAATTTGGTTTTTGATTTTGTAATTGAAGGGGTTTAAAGGTAGATGTTGCTGTTATTAAAGGGTCGGACTGGTTTGGAGTTCGGAAGTCAGCTGTAAATGAATATGTGGCTGATGGGTACGTTGTGGGTATTACATTTTGGGTTTGAGGATATACCACGTTTACAGACGGAGATGCAGCGTTTTGGTTCCATTGCATCTGCGAAAAAAATAACAATTTTAGGTTGTATTGTGGTATGTAGGTATTGTATATAATATTTACGCCACCCACCCTGTATAGTCTTTCCTTATTTCCTAACTCAAAAGTTGTCTGGAAGAAATCGCTAATTTGCGATGATATCGCCTTTTGTTACACATTTTTGTTTTTGATATTTTGCTTCCTGTATTTATTTCATTACTGTTGTGTACAATAAAAGTGTATAAATAAATGGAAAGCGGGATGTTGTAGGTATGTGTCTTATTTATTTATCAAACCATTTATTAATTAATTCAATCTAATTTAAAATGATATATTTATTCTTGTAGTTTATAAGCATATGAGTAGGTAGATAAGCCGTAGGTAGGTAGGTATGTGGTTCCATCCGGCTCACACGAGGTTTTATAAATTAGAAATTAAAAAAAAAACAATATCTAGTACCTACGATATCGGTGGTTCCTCGAATATAGAGTCGGTAATAAGTCGGTAAGGATCTTAACTATAAATAAAGATTTTATAAATAATTTAAGACGAAAGTTAAACTTACGAATAACTCATTTTTTGTAACATGTACCTAATCGAAAAGCATGTGTTCACAGTTTAATATATCTATTTACAAAAACAACTTACTTGAGAACATAACTGATCCGGCGGACATCCATGCATGGTCATATTCATGGAGACATTAACGCTCATGGTGGGAAAAAGTGGGGTGCTGCCATAATGTTCATAGTAGGGGTACCCTCCACCACCATTGACCACCATCTATTAATTTATTTCTTATTAGATTTACGAATATTTTTACATTTGATAACTTTAAGGTAGGTAGAGCCAATAATAGAAGTATAATAAAAATAATTTGAATGTTATATCCGCATTCATCTTATTATTTTAGTACTTGTATGTACAATGTACATATACAAATGTTTTAATAACTGAACATTTATAATAATATATAATTTTAAGTTTTCCAAAAAGATTTTACAATAAATATGTAATGTATAGATTCGACTCAGAATTTCATTATATGTCCTATAGATAACAATAATAATCTTTATACAGCACAACCAAAGGAGTACTTATACTTACAATATATTTTTGATCTAAAGGTACACACACTAGGCAAAGCCTGTATGTACCTATCGTGAGTAGGTAGGTACCACAAGTCATTTAACAAAAAAAATATTGTTGATCGGTAAACATTGTTAGCAAAAGTTATATTAGCCAAAGAAAAAATATTAACTATAAAAACTATAAAAATAAATATTCTCTGAACATTTACTAAAAATAGAAAAAAAAACCTAACATGAATTTCCTTGTGTACCTATTTAATATAAATTAGAAACCCAATTTGGAAGTAACCTTTATATATGTAATCCGTTGTAGAGCTCCTTTATCCTTAAACTTATTTTCGTAAGTACCTACACATCCTACGTATTTACATCGGGTGATAAATCAATAAAACACATGCGTAGATTATATCTTATTGAGTAGAAATAATGTATTAAATGCAATTAAATATTTTTATTAACATGTTTGTTGCTTAATATATTTACAATCGGTATACCTACCAATGCATAAATACCTCATCGTAAGTCTATATCGAGCTCGCATTAGAAAAAATTACCCACTCATAACAAAAAATATATTAGCAAGTATCAATTTCATATAAAGTATTATTCTACTCAACAATATTACTTAATTTCTTAATATTTTCGCATCTCTACAATCGTTTGACTAAATCTTATCTAAGAAGCCTTCTAAGAAACAACGTTCATCGCAATATAAGCCTAATTCTTAATAAAATAACGTCCTAAATACAAGTAACATTACAATTCTAATCAACAAAACATACGAAATAAGTATTCCTATACAATTATTAATCCCTATATTAATTACGAGAAACTCATAACCGCCCCTAGCTTTCACCCTATCTGAGACGCAATAAGCGAATATATCTATCTCGTTCGCACGAATTGTGTTAGGTTTAGGAGTAAAAGAGATACCTGAGGGTGCACAGTGTCCGCCGCGCAGTCGCCGTGAACGACGGCATGCTTCAAAGAGAGAAGGACGTCCGCCGCTTCCCCTCCCCCTCGCTCCCGGCACTCCCCTCCGTTGTTCCTGCTGAAAGTTTTGAGTGTATTTTGCCTATTTTTATTTTAAGACGAGTTACGGTTAAATAAGCAACTATATATGTATAGTGCATTTATGTTACGGTAAAATTAATTCACTAAACCTTTTTGATGTATTTAAATTTAAGTATAATAACTGCCTCGGTGGTGTAATGGCTAGCATGTACGGCTGCACATCCGGATGTCCTCAGTTCGAGTCCTGAGTCGGGCCCAGTTTAGTTATTGAGTCTTTTTGTTTAGTAAGCCTCAGAACAGCCCGGAGTTGGGAAATTGGCGGTGGTTCACATTCGTGCCTCGGAGAGTACGTTAAGCCGTCGGTCATATGCCTTAACTCTAACCGGTAGTGTCTAGTAGTCATCCTACCGGAGTATGAGAGTGACAGGAATAGAGAGTGCACTTTTGTCTGCGCGCACACGCACTGCACTATAATATCTCCTGCTCAGTTGGCTAGTCTCAATGAGATTGGCCGCCATGGCCGAAATCGATCAGGACGACTTATATATAGGTATAAAAACATACTCGTATAAGTTTAAATAAAATATTAGCCGTGACTTCTTTAGTGATAATAATCATTAAATATACCTTTGGATATATGTATCATATTTTAAAGGCATGAAAATTATTTAACTTTAAAGTTGAAATAGACTTACTAAATAAAATGTAGAGTAATTGGATTTAATGTACAGTTTAGGTTGTGTATTAAATAACTGAAATATATCTATAGTCGGTGCCTTGCTAATTTCTTCCTATCATCGTCTGTTAATTTACCTTACTTACCTTAATGTAACATATAGTAAGTATACCAGGTATGAGGTTTCAGAATAAAGTTTATTAACATTTAATAACGGAAATAACACTAAGGTTCAGTATGGTACGTCCTACCTACATAATATGTTGGTGAGCAATTTTATTTCATACCTAATTACAATCAAATGCAAGTCTAACTTATAAAAAATTATACTTACATAGTTATTCTTTAGCCCTCCAAACCTTTGCCGACCAAATACAATTATTTATTAATTTAATTTTTAGCTTGATACCCAATACAAAATTTCATTCCCATTTTCACCCCCTTAAGGAATGATTTCTGGGATAAAAAGTTTCCTATGTCCTTCCCAGGGTCTCAAACTATCTTCTTACCAAATTTTATTTAAATCGGTTCAGTAGATCCAGAGATTACTCCCTACAACGTCACAAACTCACAAACTCATAAACTTGACCTCTTTATAATATTAGTATAGATATATGTACATAATATACGGATAGAGGTAGGGTACATGACGAAATTATAGGTGATCCATTTTTGTGCTTTGATTTTGGAATTCAAAAAAAAATCTTTTTTTATAAAAAGCACCTATTATATATATATATATATATATATATATATATATATATATATATATATATATATATATATATATATGTAGATTCATTATTTAGTCATAAATGAAGAATTCAAAAATTATATTGGCATGTCACACCCAGGTACCGTCAAATACCTAATTATAATTAATCATATAAAACAGCTCAGAAGGGTTTTCCAGGAAAACAAATATTTGAAATTAACAATTATATTCCTCGCTTTTTCTGTATACTCATTTTACATTTATATTTTTATATTCCTAATTTATATAATCCTAATCACCGACTGTCCACTTGACGTATCAAAAATTTATTGTCAAAATCTACAAACTGGCACATAAAATAACTGAATGTTACACATACCACATGTCATTCCTACAAAAAAAATTGAGCAAGACTTGAATCCGTATCCTTTGGTGTACTATAGTGCCGTAACTTTAACCACAATACCGGAAGGCAGTACAGACTTTGCCTTACAAAAATAATATCTGATAGGTATATAGGTTTTGTGGAGGCAATAAATAATAATGTCTCATAAAGCAAAAATTTAACAAGGTTTTATAGTTTTATCTCAAAAATTTTTTAATTTATAAATATACTTATAAATACTAGTATAGAAAGTTTAATTATACGTACTTAATTACTTATACATTTTTATCAAGCTTGAATTTAAAAACAACAGTTATCATGTCGCTTGTACATTGAATATAGCCCGTTTGATTCCCGCACGGAGCAAATGTTTCTGTAAGCAATACGACTCTGGTACCGTTGGAAATTATTGAGCTAAAAGTTACTCTCCAACCACAATTGATAAAAGTTATCCACTATGATGTATACAAATATGTAAATATATGTATGTACCCAGTACCTAATAATGGTTTAAGCTTCAATGTCGAGTTTGCAATTCTCGGTCATTTAGCCGGTAAATACGTACCTACTTACATAGTGTTCATTATATGTATGACCTTATACGTATATATTTATGCTTTTTATTATTTTAAAATTTTATGGAGGAAGATAGAGCGGGGCTAAGAGGTCCGCGGGTAAAAGGTACACTATCGCTATTTTAGAAAATAATATAATATAGTAAGAGGGTCTCGAGGGAGGGGAACGTACCCCATCACCCATGATGCTTAGTGACCTCTAAATTGTTGTTCGGACTGCACACAGCAGCAAGCAACAAGCTGCTGAAAAATTTACTAAAGTAAAAATTTTCGAATGATTTATTTTTAGTCTGAGAATTACGTTTTCAACGTTACAAAGTTAAGTTTATTCTATTTATATAGCTTACAATATAAGTTACATAATCCCATTAATTAATCTATACTTATAATAAATTTGTATAGAGGTCAATTGTGTACATGAAATATATTTCCAAAATAACTATCAGGGGGTGATTAGGGATCGATACTGATGCCAAAAATGCAATCAGTAAAATTTTTGTCTGTCTGTCTGTCTGTCTGTCTGTCTGTCTGTCTGTCTGTCTGTCTGTCTGTCTGTCTGTCTGTCTGTCTGTCTGTCTGTCTGTCTGTCTGTCTGTCTGTCTGTCTGTCTGTCTGTCTGTCTGTCTGTCTGTCTGTCTGTCTGTCTGTCTGTCTGTCTGTCTGTCTGTCTGTCTGTCTGTCTGTCTGTCTGTCTGTCTGTCTGTCTGTCTGTCTGTCTGTCTGTCTGTCTGTCTGTCTGTCTGTCTGTCTGTCTGTCTGTCTGTCTGTCTGTCTGTCTGTCTGTCTGTCTGTCTGTCTGTCTGTCTGTCTGTCTGTCTGTCTGTCTGTCTGTCTGTCTGTCTGTCTGTCTGTCTGTCTGTCTGTCTGTCTGTCTGTCTGTCTGTCTGTCTGTCTGTCTGTCTGTCTGTCTGTCTGTCTGTCTGTCTGTCTGTCTGTCTGTCTGTCTGTCTGTCTGTCTGTCTGTCTGTCTGTCTGTCTGTCTGTCTGTCTGTCTGTCTGTCTGTCTGTCTGTCTGTCTGTCTGTCTGTCTGTCTGTCTGTCTGTCTGTCTGTCTGTCTGTCTGTCTGTCTGTCTGTCTGTCTGTCTGTCTGTCTGTCTGTCTGTCTGTCTGTCTGTCTGTCTGTCTGTCTGTCTGTCTGTCTGTCTGTCTGTCTGTCTGTCTGTCTGTCTGTCTGTCTGTCTGTCTGTCTGTCTGTCTGTCTGTCTGTCTGTCTGTCTGTCTGTCTGTCTGTCTGTCTGTCTGTCTGTCTGTCTGTCTGTCTGTCTGTCTGTCTGTCTGTCTGTCTGTCTGTCTGTCTGTCTGTCTGTCTGTCTGTCTGTCTGTCTGTCTGTCTGTCTGTCTGTCTGTCTGTCTGTCTGTCTGTCTGTCTGTCTGTCTGTCTGTCTGTCTGTCTGTCTGTCTGTCTGTCTGTCTGTCTGTCTGTCTGTCTGTCTGTCTGTCTGTCTGTCTGTCTGTCTGTCTGTCTGTCTGTCTGTCTGTCTGTCTGTCTGTCTGTCTGTCTGTCTGTCTGTCTGTCTGTCTGTCTGTCTGTCTGTCTGTCTGTCTGTCTGTCTGTCTGTCTGTCTGTCTGTCTGTCTGTCTGTCTGTCTGTCTGTCTGTCTGTCTGTCTGTCTGTCTGTCTGTCTGTCTGTCTGTCTGTCTGTCTGTCTGTCTGTCTGTCTGTCTGTCTGTCTGTCTGTCTGTCTGTCTGTCTGTCTGTCTGTCTGTCTGTCTGTCTGTCTGTCTGTCTGTCTGTCTGTCTGTCTGTCTGTCTGTCTGTCTGTCTGTCTGTCTGTCTGTCTGTCTGTCTGTCTGTCTGTCTGTCTGTCTGTCTGTCTGTCTGTCTGTCTGTCTGTCTGTCTGTCTGTCTGTCTGTCTGTCTGTCTGTCTGTCTGTCTGTCTGTCTGTCTGTCTGTCTGTCTGTCTGTCTGTCTGTCTGTCTGTCTGTCTGTCTGTCTGTCTGTCTGTCTGTCTGTCTGTCTGTCTGTCTGTCTGTCTGTCTGTCTGTCTGTCTGTCTGTCTGTCTGTCTGTCTGTCTGTCTGTCTGTCTGTCTGTCTGTCTGTCTGTCTGTCTGTCTGTCTGTCTGTCTGTCTGTCTGTCTGTCTGTCTGTCTGTCTGTCTGTCTGTCTGTCTGTCTGTCTGTCTGTCTGTCTGTCTGTCTGTCTGTCTGTCTGTCTGTCTGTCTGTCTGTCTGTCTGTCTGTCTGTCTGTCTGTCTGTCTGTCTGTCTGTCTGTCTGTCTGTCTGTCTGTCTGTCTGTCTGTCTGTCTGTCTGTCTGTCTGTCTGTCTGTCTGTCTGTCTGTCTGTCTGTCTGTCTGTCTGTCTGTCTGTCTGTCTGTCTGTCTGTCTGTCTGTCTGTCTGTCTGTCTGTCTGTCTGTCTGTCTGTCTGTCTGTCTGTCTGTCTGTCTGTCTGTCTGTCTGTCTGTCTGTCTGTCTGTCTGTCTGTCTGTCTGTCTGTCTGTCTGTCTGTCTGTCTGTCTGTCTGTCTGTCTGTCTGTCTGTCTGTCTGTCTGTCTGTCTGTCTGTCTGTCTGTCTGTCTGTCTGTCTGTCTGTCTGTCTGTCTGTCTGTCTGTCTGTCTGTCTGTCTGTCTGTCTGTCTGTCTGTCTGTCTGTCTGTCTGTCTGTCTGTCTGTCTGTCTGTCTGTCTGTCTGTCTGTCTGTCTGTCTGTCTGTCTGTCTGTCTGTCTGTCTGTCTGTCTGTCT